TTAGACACATGTACAGCAACAACAATTATATATGCATAAAAGTAGAGTATCTGCACTCTGATTCATGTGAAATCATCCTACGAATTTTAGTGTTCTTTTATGTGAACAACATCAGTAATTTTTATTCTTTTAGGAGGGCAAGCCATATTTTATAAATGGAAGAAATAAAACTAATGCTAAATACAATCCAACAGATTCATTTAAGTTATATAATCACTATGATTAAGATGTATGCTATTAACAGATACTTCTGAATGCCACCTACATGGGTCACTCATCTTAAGTAACCAAAAGACAACTATCTGATTTGTTTGAGACTGGGATTATCGTAAGTGTATACATATTTAAAAGAAAAATTCCTGAAATTAAGAACTGTCGTTCTTTCATTGGGAATTCACACCTAACACTGTGGTGAGAGCTGGCTGCTAGCCAAAGTTGGTAAACAGTAATTGACGTCAATGTTTATGTCCCCAATATTGGTGGTGAGAAAATGAGAACAAAGGCTTTGCGTAGGCGGATACAGTTAGCTTATGGATGATCTGACACAGCCACAAAGAGATGCAAGGTTAACTTTCTGTGAGAAACAACCAATCAATTCTACTAACAATAATCTACAATAATGTACATTAAAATCTATAGATATGTGTTGATTTTCTTTAATAAACGATCTGTTGCTTGGCCCTTGTCTTCTGTTGTTACAATACTACTTTTTATGTAAAAAATCCTGACTCATCTTCCACTTTGTTAGAAAGAAACTATGTATTTTGAGGTCTGACGCATTTTCGGAGACATCATTTTCAATCTCTTTCACTTCTACATGTGTGATTCTCACGATTTTAAAACCCTTATTTTCATTATGTCAGCTCTTCATTCTCATTAATTTCTATAAATATTGGAAGAGAGTATTTTGTCAGAATAGAATTTCATGTAGCTGATTGTCTTCAAAAACGTTTATCAACTCCATTCAATAGACATATGGTAGTGCTACCTATCAAATTATCCACAATGGAGAACTGAGAGAAGTTTTCGAATTGAAGACAAGGATAAGAGAAGGATGCCTACAATCACAGATGATTTTCCTGATTATGGTAGACTAGATAATGCAGGAGACCAGGCGAAATGAAAGAAACTGGCAGAAAAATCAGGCAGTGAAGGAAGGATTTCAAGTGAACATAGAGAGGACGGAGGTGATGAAGATAACCAACCAACAGCAGCAACCGGTACCAATAACTGTCAGCGAGAGAAACTTGAAAGAGGTTAATTCCTTCACTTATCTATGCAGTACCGCTTCAACTACAAAAGGCATAGATAAGGATGTGAAAACCAGTCAGCATCGGAAAGGCAAGACATATCTTCATCATTGAAATCAGTGTGGAAATCAAATGGATTCAGCATGAAGAACGAAATTCGGATTTTCAACAGAAATGTTAAGTCAGCTCTTCTATATGAGTCAGAAAATTGACGCGTCACGAAAAGCATTTCCAGCAAGCTGCAGACTTGCATCAACAGCTGCCTTCACTGCATACTGAAGATCACAGGATCAGGAAGGATTAGCAACAAGAAATTTTGGGGACGTATCAACCAACAAATGTGTATAAGAAAATGTAGATGGACTGGACATACGCTGAATAGACCGTCGAGTGACACCACAAGCCAAGCCCTGTGGTGGAACTCGAACGGGAAACGGCTAGTGAAACGGAGATCGGATGAGAAGGAGATGATGGCTTATGGTCAGTCATGGGCCCAGGTAAATAGGGCTACAGAAAACAGGGAACACAATAAAATAGTAACAACAAAAATAATCGTATTCGATACGCCCTATATGAAGCTTCGTGAGACAGTACAACACCCATCTTTGTCATAAACAATATATTGTGTCTGAAAATTAATCTGCTTTTCTAAATCACCTTATAATTGTGTCCTATTTATCCTCAAACTTACTGAGCATACAATTCATTTCATTTTATACAATCTGGTCTTGGATTCAAACTATACTGCAGGTATAACCGAATTCATTAAACAAAAGGTATTTTTTCAAAGTACGTAATTACGGGATGTGGCTTGGTTGCTTAGGACCTTTTGAATGAAAAAAAGATAGTATGGTTGGCTGTTTAATGCGTCTTCGTTCTCTTGTATTTACTTCCTCACCTCAAGTATAACGGATATGCAGGTAGTTCCCATCCCTCACTAGATATCTAACTACACATCTGACAAGAATAAAAATACTACAGAGCAAAGTTTTTTAGTCAAAGCAACAGGAACAAAATTCGCAGTAAAATAATTTGAACATGTCATTTCGAGGCTTCTCTTCGACTGCAGACAGCCTAAAATATAGATGGTATCAACAAAATAAGAACACACATTTTTTAGCCTATTAGCAAAAGATTGGCATGAAGATCATTTTTATAGAGAGACAGTAATGGGTGATCTTCATGCTAATAGGATAAAAAATGCGTGTTCTTACTTTGTTAATATTATCTATATTTTAGGCTTTCTGCATTTGAAGAGAAGCCTCGAAGAAATATGTGCACATTTTATACTATAAATTTTGTTCTTCATGCTTCGTCGAAGATGATGAAGGGAACACGATGTACTAAGTTTATTTATGAAGTGAACTGTTTCTATGGATTAATCTGTTGTTGAATACGGCCAAAGACAATAAGAGATAACCATCACCGCAGGTTACCAGTTGACTCAAAATGCATACATAGTTTATTACCGTGAGGCCTGCCCCTTTGGGGTCTTCACATCACAGGATCACACTGTGTGTCGAAGTAACCTGATCGTTGCTTTATATTTGTATTAAGAGTAAATCACTTTAGTTTAGTAAAGACCTTGGATAAGTAAAATTAGGGTTACCTAAACATCAACACTATCTGTTTTATCTACAAAATGAACACTGACGGTTACTTAATGCATACACAACCGATGGTTTAACCAAGTTATTAGCAGACAAATAAATGCTTATGATGAACTATTCCAACTGAAATTCTACACCGCCTACTTTGTTCACCTTCTTGTGTGTTGGTCTGTTTGCATGTAAAAGCATGCATACATGTTAAAAACAAATATTTTCTGTTTGAATTTACAAATTAGATAACAAAAAGAGTACACAAAGTCAACCTATCACAAAGAATGATTAAAAAAATATCTGGTATCTAACAGACAAAGACGTGTACACGACAATAAAGTTGTAATGAAGTGATACAGTCTTGGAAACATCACAAAAAATTTCGTTTGTTATGATGACTCTGTATATGTACTTAAACTGGTCCATATTTAGCACACGAGTCTTTGATAAAATTGTAAATGGATATTATACATATAGAGTTACAAATAATATATGAGTAGAGCAAATGAAATATAAAGAATCATTTGTCTTAAAGTCTCTTTATGACTTGAGTTAATTATGATAATTATTCTATATGAACACGTTTAAGATGAAATAGAAATGTAGTCTAATAGTTATATTCAAACTACTTATATAAATAAGTAGTTTGTCTTAGGTGAACAAATTTAAATCTGATTAACGTGAAAGTAAACTTGAGTAGGTTGTAAGTAACGAATTCAGTTGAACAAGAAAACATTAACTCTACTGCTATTAATTAAAAGATAAAAAGGTCGGCTATACGAGAAATTGATTTGAATGAAAATCCCAAAATGCATAGTTGAGGAAAGAGTTGAAAATTATTTGATTTCACCAGAAACTCAGTTAATACAATCGAGTTCATTCAGAATTGTTCCGTTACTTGGTGCATACATAACTTTACCATTCGTGTCTGTTATCAGTAGTAACCTGTAGCATTTTTGTTTAAAAACACCAGTTACATCAATTAGTTTCTTCAAGTAATTTATTTGACCGGTAACGAAGTGGTGGTGTAATGTATGATTATATGTTGAAAGATCTTTGTTACATTTCACCATCACCACATTCAGTGGTAAAATGGTAAAACAGTGATTTATGGACTGTGCAAAGTACTCCCTGTAGAAAGCGCAAGTGAAAAGCTACTGATATCAGATTACTCAAAATGGAAATTTGAAGCACTTAGAACTGGTTTAATTATAATAAAGGTTTTCTTGTATTTCCCAATGAATGAAAAACAAAACGATATTGTTTTTAATGATGTTTCGCTATTTAATGCTAATAGCTTTATCAAAGTATTGACCTCGTTTAATGTCTGAAGTTAATTGGTGGATGGTAACTAGCAGTGGAATCCAAGATGCGCATTTCGTGCTATTTGGGACTCGCCATCTGGATGTACCTTCATTCCTCAGTGAGTAATGATCTTCCCACCGAGGCTTGAATTTGTCTAAAGACAGGGAAATTTATAATGTACACAAATAGCCTTTGTCTTTTATCACTGATTACAGGCATCTGACTGAGAGAAAAATTACATCGTTCAAAGGTTTCAGTGTTCTCAGCAGAAACTACTTGATAATGATTAGATATTATATCCCTAATAGTGGAACAAGAAAAGAAAGCAACTAAATAAATATCACTTATTCTTGCCTGTTCATGACACATAACAGCTTCTAGATTATGCCAGTTATCTGATAGTACTCTGGTGTCTACTGCAACTCAGAAGCAGCATGTAGTAGAATATCCTCAGTTTAAATCAAAGGAGATATAGGCTTAGTAGAAAAGTTCTTGTAATAAATAGAGCAAGTAGATTAAAAATGTATTTTAAAGAAAACATATGCATTCTCTGCATAAGATCGCAATTTTTTAACGGTCCTGAAAGTAATTTCACAAGATGAACACCTGTGAAACTATCAGGCTGTCGCCATTCTCATCAGCATGACTTAGATGAATTCGAATATATCACTGATAGTTCTATTACATGTAAAGGGAAGTGAAGTACAGATAGAGTGTAAAACAATTCAAGTTTTTTCATATTTTGCCTGAACCTATCTAAATAATTAATTTGCCTCTACGGTCATTATACTTCTAAGTATTGACTGAGTTTAAGTCATTTATTTTTCTCTCTTCCTTTTAATAGAACTGGTTGAAGCTTGATAAACGCATAGCTAAACAAGTGGAAAGTAAGTCAATGTGAACTATTTATTATTTTTAACGTATGATATATAATTTGGTATAAGTTGTGTTCAGAATAGATGGTTAATACTGCTTTGTAACATAAAGATAGTAAAATTTTCACACTGGTCTATCCTGACAAAGAGTTGGAAGGAAGTTTTGTAGCGACCAAAACCCATTCGTTATGATCTCAACGTAGAAAATCGTATATATTCGTATATAGCTGGCAAAACTTACTTTAGACACGTGCAGTCACGAAACGATCCAAAGATAGGAAAAATACAATTGTTCTAGAATAATTTTTCGGTTTTGTTAAACAACGAATACATCAAAAACTTAAAATTACCTCAACAGTGCTTTTAGACAGCGATTCAGTGCAGCCTAGGTACAAAAGGAACACTTAGAACCGAGTAAAATATTTCCAAAAAAGTGGGATCAAAAACTCTGCCTACAATAATCACACACCAATGCTTCCTGAGGGCAGTCGGAGGTTAGAAATGACCTTCATTACCTCGAATAAAATCTTATCGTTCAACACATTGTCAATAAATACACAACCACAAAGAGAAGCATTACAATTACTGACTGAACAAGCGCAAGAACAAATAATAAAGATCAAATCAATATGTGATTTACAAATGTTAAAATAATGATATACAGTCTAGAAGAAAAATAAATAATAATTACAAAGCCAGCTGCAACATTCAGATAAGTACAAATATTGTGATTAAGTCGTCTAGGAGGGCTTACCCAAATAATTTTACTTTTTTCAAGTTTATTTATTACAATAAATTAATCCAATGCACAATATCAACAAAAAAGACACCACGAGAAGTGTTATTCACACATTTTTAAATGTTTCACAAATTATGCTCAATATTGGACACATTTCGTTTCTCAAATTCTGAATGCTCACACTAAAGATTAATGAAACTATTGTTAAATACCTAGGTGATTAATTTCGCATCTGGTAACCTTTAAACACTGTAATTATATTTACAATATGGGAATAGTGTGACTTATAGGACGATACCTAGATAACTAAACATTTTGGAAACATTTAGATATTTTGGAAAAATTTCAACTAGAAATAAGAGATATTTCTGACACACATGTTTCCACAGTTCTTTGTTACTGAGTAGAACATAGCCTAAAGGTCTCCCCAAAATCTTTACTAATCATAATTTGCGTAGATGAAAGCAAGTCGTCAGTACTTTCAGCCTGTCATGAAATGTACATGCTTTGTACTTTGCTTGCCTCGTACTTTTGAAATTCTTGTTTAAATTTATCTTTATAAACAGTGTTAAGACTGTTTTCAAGGGAAGAGGCGATGCGAAGCTTACACTAACAAAAGGCGGAGATTTAAAAAATGGTTTTCCTAACATTGATAGATTCCGATCTTTGGGTCTAAGCTCGTTAAAGTATAATTTTCTTTCAGTGATGCCTTCGACGGATATCATAATCTAGTGGGAGACGTTGAACGCGACCAAACAGTTAAGACTACAGGAAGATTGGTAGAGTGAATTTTTTGTTGTTCTTTAAGTAAAGCAAATCCAAATTATATCAACATTACATAATGAAAACTTTTCAAGAGTTGTTTTGTAAGGATTAAATTTGTTTTTACGAGTTTGACCACGAACTGATATCAGTTGGACAACCACTGAAAATCAGGGAGTACTGGACAGCTGTTTCATCCTAGTTTGTGAGTTATTGTTTAGTTACAAGGCAAGTTCGGAAGGTCCTGGGTTCGAACTCCAGTGGGTGCGTACTGCCGATGATTCCCAGACTAGGATGAAACAGCTCTCTAGTACTCCCTGGTTTTCAATGGTTCTCTGACATCAAACCTATGGTCAAACTCGTAATGAAAAATGTCATACCTAACATTATTATAGTCTAATGCCACATAATACTAGTCATAATGGATGGTTAGCAACCACTCATGTTATTTAGTGGGGAGTAGTGACTACTTTTTAAATAATACTAAACTAAAATCATTTCATTCAGTTGCTAAGATAAACCTTTTGCGATCAATAATTAGTGAGTTGAGTGACTATGATAAGATTCAGTCAGTCTTGATTAATTCTGAAATCCCAAAATAAAGTGAATCGCTTTGATTTTCTGGTATTTTGGTGACATGTAATTTACTGGATGAAATTTTATTGTAATAAATTTTTTCTACATCTCTACTTGGACCATCTTCTTGTGTATTTATTGCAACAAATTCTTTAGTCGTATCTCGAATGATCGACATGATTTGTAGTTCACATGGATTTTCGACTTTATCCTACTCTCTGAATTAGTTTGCCGAGCTGTAAAGATTCTGCTGTCCTTCTGAAAGACACTATTGCAAACAGTGCTATTACCACTGAAATACACTATGGTCTTTACTCTCAAATAGATTAACTCAGTAAACATAGGGAAGTTATACCAACACACAAAATTAGTAGTACATAATTTTGAAATACTCATTAAACATTTTGTAATACGCTTACATTCTTAGAATATTCTGTCTGTTCAACAAATAGGTTTGTTTGAAATGTAATTACTGGAGATTTTGACAGGTTTGGTTAATTTATAGTAGAAATAAAGTATAAAGGACACATTATTGGAAAATAAGATTGAGACGTTTTAAAACGTCTATTAAGGTTTAATTAAACTCGAGCATCTTCTGTACTTATGGGTGAACGAAAAGCTCTGGTTTTGAACTTATAAAACTGACGACTGAGGGAATTCAAAAATTGTGTTGACGTAAATACATGAACACTTTTAGATATTCTATTGGAAAAGGCATATGTATATGTGTTAACGTGAGGCCATCACTTAGGGAGCACCGCAAAATAATTAATTTCGGTTTATCTGCTGTCATTTGTCAAGCATGATGGTTTTCTTCTGAACACGCCTCACGTGTCCATTCTTTGACATTGAGTTAAACAGAGGCTATGCATTTAGTATTTCTGATCTGATCACAGATTTTGTATGTCACTTGTTGCTGAATTTATTTTTTGCCATCAACATTTTATTAGCTCACTTAATATTTCAAACGTTTGTGGTAGACTGATAAAAATGGTGACTGTTAGGTAAAAGTTTGGTGTTGATAGCAGTAGCCACTTTCTTTGCCGAACAATTTAACTAGGATGATCAGTGTCAAAAGTGTACAAAACAAACCCATTCAGTATTTTAGAATACATTAAGTGTGCATAACGTAGGTGAAGCTGAAAGCAAATGATTCAGTTTTTATGACATCGACTTTCTCCTAAATAAAAAGCAAAATTTTATAGACACTATCACTTCACCGAAGAGTTTATGATTAGCACAATTGGAACTCGAAAGGCTACATTAGTTGACTCACAATAAAAAAAACACAGTAAATTTGTGATAAGATTTCAGAATCCAAGACTGAATGACTAGAAATTAAATCTAGAATGGAACATTAGTTTTACCAAAATTCCCAAAACCCATTTCTGATTACTGCGAAGAAAAACCATTTTCGATTTCCATTTGCATTGTAGTACATGGCAGAATCGTGTAAATAAAATGAACCTATTTGAGCCATAGATTTCCTTCAATTGGGTTAACACATGACAACTGCATATATGATCATCTGGTGATGATTTGTTTGCACGTTGATACAAAACAGTTTAGCTGGTGTAAAGTTCTCTGTGTATGTGTTTAAGCATAAGAGTTCGCGTTAGACGTTTTCATGCTAAGCATCAGTAAATAAAATCATAAATGAACTTAGGTTTTTTGATGAATAATAGTTTTTCGATTCCATTGAATATTCAATTTAATTTCTTATTTATTGTTCAAATAGAAGTACCATGGAAATTGGAATTTCGTGTACGTTTCTACCCGCCAAATATAGATGAATTCAAAGACGATTTAACCCGCTACTTCTTTTGTTTACAATTAAGGCAGGATATTATCTCTGGACAGTAAGTAAAGTAGTTTTTAACCGCTGCTAACTCACCTTTTAATAAGCAAATAAATTCTGTATTTTCAATCATTCCGACCCCTGAATTGTAAACAAACAAGCAAACAGGAATCAAATATGCGGCCTGAATTATTACTATTTCAGAGAAAAACATTTTTTTTCATGTTCAACAGTGTTTTAACCCAAACTGCAGCGGATCCTCAGACACCTCTTGTTGATTTCACACTTGATCTCTTAATAATATACTGACTAATGGGTGTCACACTACTTTGTTCAGTACAGTGAAATTGAAAATTTCTGCACACTTATTCTTTTAAAGGACATAAAATAATTATAAAATTATAAAAAAATATCAAACAACATGTTTCTCCAAAAACTGTTTACGATTATTTGCAACTCCTTAATTTGAAGCTAGGATCTCACATTTTGATGTCTAACAGTATACTCAGTGAAAACAGAATAAATGAATAAGAATAAACCTTTGATGATATTAGATAGTTGGAGGCAATCAACAGGATGCCTTGGACCTTGCACCAAAGAATGAACTAGACCCATCACACTAGTTACTAGTGTCCGTTCAAAGTCATTATCAAAACTTCTTTTGCAAAATTAGGCAAAACAGAAACTATTTAAGGAATATCCTTCCTTTTTGCATCATTACGATTTAGTGTTCTTCCAAAACGAACATTCTCAGTCGTTTGAAATTAATTACAGGAATATACTTAGTTTCACATACAAGCAAACTGTATATGCAAGTACAATTTTAGAAAATTTGTTTCCACTTTTAAAAATACTCGATTTGTAACAGTAGAAGACAAGACAGGGAAGCCAAGGTATATTTTTAATTAATCAAACCACTATTTATAAATTTACAGTTTATATTCTTTAACCAATCACTGAGCATCTTATTTTGGTTTTCATTAATAGAAACATGAAAAGGTATATATATATATATGTATATATATATATATATATATATAATATTCTGCTGCTAACTCAGTATCAAACTGTGGGAATATGTGAGAAACATATTTCGCTGGCTCACATTATCTGTATCACACCATCACAGATTTATGCACCTTTCATAGTTTTACTGTGATGTATCTTGTTTAGTGGCAAAATATCTCTGATCACATGGATTGAAAGTAAACATTTTGCTTGGGATGATTGTGTTTTTGAAAATATTTACCCAAAAGCCTTACAAACCAAGCACATCATACATTCTTACATAAGAACAGCATGAATTCAGCTTCCGAAATTCTAAATTTCTTGCACTTTTTGCTTTAATAAAAGTAACAGGGCATTAAGACTTGTGAACAAGATACAAGTAAATTGTCGTAGTAGAATTTTATCGCGGCGTTTATGATGGATTAAATTCAGTATTTGACACTTCTAAAAAATTATCATCTTAAAGACTGATGGGAGTAGTGTAACAAACACTGATCATAATTAGACTTTATTACCAGGAAAGTGATGTACATTCAGTTCAACTGCAACGAATAGTGGAGATGATACACATCCACTTACTAAGCCTGGATTTAGAGACTAAATGGCTTTATATATATATATATATATATATATATACTAAATTTAAGTACTACAAAACAGAACGCCAGAAGTACCTAGTTTCTAGGAGTTTTATGGTAAGAGTCTGCAGAATCTGCCCCAAAATAATTTAATTAGTATTATAGTTGTAAAGAAATGTTTCGATTTGAACTGATAGAAATACTAATATCAGTATTGATTAAACTTCTCAACTGACTTCAGTATAACGCTCTAGTCTTAGAGATTTGAGTCTGGTTAGAAACTATGACTTCCTATGATAACTGGTGAGATTAAATTCTACTTTCGTTGACCAATAATTCTTTGAATGAATAATAATTATAATAGCTTTATTTTCAACAATACTGCTGATAGTGTCGAATTCGCAGCACAGAGTACAATAGTGCATCTAATGTACTCTTCGTATTACATAGCTAGGGGCAAAACAGTTACCAAACTCCATGATGTTTACAGTAAGAACTAATCAGTTAATTAATAGAAATGATGGGAACAGTAGAAATTGGTTTTTATTTACTACTATAAAGTAAAGAATACAGATGAGTGGAATAAGTTTTAGCCAGTTACAAATCCTTCTATCCAATAACACATAGACTTTCATTTCACAAAGAAAATTTCTAATCTTGGCTACTTTTCCTATTATTACTTGTTTTATGTAAGTGTCACTAACACATTGTCAAACTGCACCATCACTGTGTTATACATCTAATTATTCCTTTATTCAGACTTCCATGTTCTCATCACACATATGTGATTCTTGGTGCTTACGTGGTACAGTCAGATGCTGGAGATTATGATCCCAACACCCATATTGGCACTGATTATATTGCCAATATTCCCTTCGCTCCACAACATTTACAAACATCAAAAATGCTTCAACAGATTGTTGAATTACACAAACTTCACAAGTAAGTTTGCATTGCTTTTACTTCAAAACACCTTTCAGATAAAACATCAGGAACAGAAGATGCATTTACTTCCTATTAAAATTACTAGACATTTTAGTTTTGAATTTGAAAGAATTTGTAATTCATGAAGATTTACAAATCTATTTATTTACATTACTTGACCAGTTAAAGTTTGCACTAACTTATGACAACTTTGTAGTCAATACCTGTAGGTAAGAAAAACTTTATACACTTTTAACAGTAGACGAAATTTGGTGGGCGACATAGTGACTGACTGTATGATGGTGAAGTTCTGAATGTAACACAGTCTAACAGTCAGTAATACAAAATCAATGACCAAAATGCAGAAAAGTTGTTTTATGTCACTAAATGTTATTTCCTGCATCTGTAAATATAATAGGTCATGCTTTTAAGCTGTCAATAGAAGTGTGTTGGAAATCAAACCTTCTTATGTTATATCCCGTATTTAACTGAATCAATTACCTCATTGCTGATTGTATTTAAAGGTGTTTTCCATCCAGCTAAGACTACATCTTCTTTTAGACTTATTGCAAAATTATGGAGATTAAAAATGACTACATTAGTCATACGGACATAATGCTGTTGACTCAAATCCTTCAGGTTTACTACCTGTAACGATTACAGTATGAAAACTCAACAGCTATCCTCTATTCTACGCTTCCACAACCACTAATCACGCTTTCGGACGAAACCACAAACCGTTAACATTTTCATGAAATTGAAACTTTACTTCCTATACTTTTATAGAAAGGCAATCTATCGTACTCTCAAATAACAACACATCGAATTATAGAAAATACAGTAATTTATTTTCAGACCGTACCAGCTAAAAGAAAAGAAACTGTCAATTAAAACAATCAAGAAACTAAGTAGAACATCTCTCTCTCGAAAACACCACACAAAGTGCTTAATGTAGTTTCAGAAAAATAATGGGCGTATATAAAATGAGTACCGGAAAGTAAATTGACACTAGGCCTTATTTAGTGTAAAAAGTGAAATTATTCATTTATTAACTATGACTTTATCATTTCTTACCAGCAAACCTAGAGAAAACTTTCACAGAGAACTCAAGATACATTAGTTAGTGGACTAATTCCGTTTTGTGATTAACGTGGAAAACACACAATTCCATTCCATTTCTTGGTTAGAGTTCATAATCACGAAAGGTTTAAATTAAATAAAGATTCCTATTTATAAATGCAGTGAGGTAAAATAAGTGTTATTACCATCTACAGTCAGTTGAACTGCTTTTTTGTCAGTTCATCTGATTATACACGAGAATCGTACAATTATGAAAGACTAACAATCAATCATTCACTGGGAATCTCCTAAATATTTAATTTAAGAAATTAAATGAGAAACTGAAGCCTAATTTATCATCGACCGAAATAACGTTGTTCAGAGAAATGAAACTTTATTGCTTATTCTAAAGCTTCTTTTCTTAGTAATGCATACATAGTTTAATTTTAAGCTGCTTAGAAATCTAGCATTAACCGTCTGCTCGAAATTTTGGTTTTCAATAAAAGCCTCTACACACCACAATCGGCAGAGAAGGATAGTTTATTTAGTGATATTTTAGTTAGATTTCTAAACGTGATGCACATTTCCTGGTGAATAACCTTGAAAATTACAAAGACCAGAAGATAAATTGTCCGAGCTGAGTGATTTCCTTTTGGAACCACACAATCTACAAATTTCTGTTACCTCTATTAACTCGCAGTAGTACCAATACACATATTTCCTGATGGCAATTCGAATAGTTATTATTCCACTTTCTCATCAATTACATTCCATAAACACTCTAGTGTTCCATACATGTGGCATTTCACTGCTTCTGTTTCAAAACACTAATGTTTCAGTGCAGAGGAAGTTGAATATTAAGAGGTTTAGATAGTATCTTATTTAATGAGGAACCTTTTCGAACAGGCTCTGTCTACAGTAGATGGTTGAGTGGTCTATGGAGATAAGGTGCTTCAGAAACCTTAATAGTGCTAGTGTAACGATATAATTTAGCCCACAAAATTGCCAGTAACCGTTTTGTTGTACCCCTAAAAGCTTTTCCAGAGCATTTTAATCCTTAATATGTATGCTGCCGACGGTTTTTACTGCTAGGGCAATGATGATGGGTTCAATTTATGCTGTGTTATTGATGATAGGTATGTTATCTAAAGTACCTTATTCATTAGTTTTAAAGAAGCACATATATATATACATGTATATAGGTATATACATATATATTACTCATGAAAAATCATCTACCCTGGCATCTATAACATATGAATAATTTTTCTTTTAACTTCGTGATTTTTTTTCAGAGGACAAACTCTAGTTCAGGCTGACCGAGGGTTTTTGGAAAATGCTAGACGACTTTCACTGTATGGAGTTGAATTTCACAGGGCCAAGGTAAGTTGTGTTTTAAAATACTGTTATTATGATTCTGTCATTCTTAAGCGGCTAGTAGCAGGGTTGGTATTTTTGAAAGTGTTATTTTTACTGTTTATGAATACTATGCATGATAAAAATTCTCGGAATGATTTCTGGATAAAATTTAGAATCTAAAAATTATGAAAGAATATCAGTTCAAAACACAACAGTATGTGTGAAAGTAGACTTTCAACTTGATTTTGTCACTGGTTAGGTTAGCAAGACGAGATATTTTAGCTTTAATTTACTAGTATCAGGCTTGAAGTTGTATATATCAGTTCAGATGCCTCTGTATACCGGTCCTTCAATGCATAGAATTACCAAACGTTTTGACAAATAACATTCTAATTGACTGGCGTAATGTGAGTAACTTCATCAGACAAAAATACGTCAGTCAGATTTGCAAAACTGGCGGGCGCAACAGTTGATGATTGAAAGTGGACTGAAAATCTACGTTGCAGAAGGATTAAAACCACTGACTTTGGAATAAGTGATTAGAATCTTACCATGACTAACTTTTTCATTTCACCTTCAATCATTGCTCAATATGAGTTTACATCTCAAGACTACCACAGCTGGCCGCACCATCAACCGCATTCATTATGTTAAGTAGATGAAAAACATGAATTGTTTGTGCCAACGTGATTTATTTGAAATTTAATTCTCCAATGCTCACTAAAGGCTGATGTCATTACTTCATATTTTCCTTATTAAAATCCACTTCTAGCTTTGTTTTATTTTCATATCCATTCCGATCGCAATGGTGAAAATTATTTCTATATAGAGCAATCTCATACCCACATCTGTTTATAAGCTTAGTTTCCGTGTTTCTGTGTAATTTATTTTCTCTTCTGATGACAGTATTCTATTTCCCAACCTCATTTAACAATAGTTGCATCTTTGGTGGAATAGCATATATTATTACTATGTGATTAAAGTCAGCATCATTAGTCTTCCAGTTAAACAAAATTGGGCTGCTTTCAAGTAATAATGAAATAAGATGAGAAATAACCCCTTCAAATTTTTGTATATCGATTGAAGGAGTTTTAAACCTGAAGAAGTCTTCTAATTGGTTCATGTTAGCTTGTGCTGAAAATTAAATACCAAAGGAAGCTGTTGAATACATACTTTTACCTTTAACTCTTTTAAATTTACAGATCACTTTTCTGAAGGGGGGCTTTTCACATCACAAAAATAGGAATAACATATAAACTCAGTTGGTTGTCATGCAGGAGAAAAAACTTAAAAGAAAAAAATGTTGAAATCCAGTTTAGTTAAATGTTAAAAAGCCTAGAGTTTGTTTAAAAACAGACAGCCCTCACACACATACTTAACCTAATGAATGCAGAATTTAGAAATAGACACTCTCTTTGAGATAGTTTATATTCTGCATTTATTAATATTTCTACAGTTATGCTTTGACATGGCAGTATTAGATGGTTCCTCTTACTTGTTGTACGTGTGCTGATAACTTCTTTTTCCATCTTTACGTTCATTTTCTGAAAAATATTCACAAAGTATTTTCAAATCGAAATGTATCAGTTTCTTTCAAGAAGAGTTTTGCTCTTGCATAGTATTCATCTGTCAACTTTCTACCGCCAGATCAAGCAAACATAAAATATTGAGTAGCTTACTAAACTCAAAAAATGCTGAAATAGAGGAATGAAATATTGGGTGACTAGAACAACTGGGTTATGAGTTATTTGCGGAAATGCATCGTATACTGTCTGGCCATTATGGTCAACAGTAAATATTGATTAACTTTGTTGCTATGACATCACACTAAATAGCATAGATGCTTTCTTCCACTTGCCGCTGGTATTTATTTTCTTAGAATGTAAATAAAATAAGGACCTTCAGTGTGTATATTTATTCATTAAATTATGTTAGTGCGTAGATATTTTATGGGTGAAAGATGACTTTCTTTTTAGGCTGAATATATTGCTGAATATCACTATTTCATAGGTTTGCTACGCATTTGCTCATCCTTTTATATCCATTAAGTTCAAAACATTTTACATTAGCATATTTAATCAGTCAACAAGCAGAAGAGTAAGGACAATAACTATTCTGTTCTAACTGGGGTACTATAACTGCTTCAGACTACTGAATCCATTATTTTAAAGTATTCCACTACGAAACTACTGGTTTAAAACCCAACGGCAAACATTTTTACTTAACAGTAGTTCATCTCTATAAATAATCAGTGTATACCACTATCAGCTTTCATCTTCCGCTTTAAGTATCTCTGACATTTTAGTTACTTTTTTGTTTGTAAAAAACAAGAGCTTTTATTTCAGAATACCAGTAAAGTAATAATGAAACTGATAACAACCGGGCTGTCTATAGTTTCCCTGGCTTCTAGCAAAAGATAGAAACTGAGCAAAAGACCTTTACCTTTGATGTCTTTTGTTGACATATCCTTATCCTTGGATATTGTAGTCATAACAACCAGAAATACGTAACAGATTAAAATTACTGGAAAAGTATCTTAATATAGAGTAGCAGTTGTAACTTCTAAGTTAGTTAATTAAGAAATGAATGCAAGGATTGTAGGTGGTGAGCTAAAATACTTTCTGACATATTAGGGATAGGCAACCCGGAGAGACAGCTAACTTGTGTCACTTTTTGTAGACTTTTAAATTATATTATTATGACAGTGAGTGAGAAATTAGTTCACATTCCTTTTTTATACTTAATAGACAAATACTGGTGAGAGTGTATGTCTGGGTGTATATCACGGAGGAATATTATTGTATCATGGTATGCTACGCATGAACCGATTTCTCTGGCCACAAATTGTAAAATTATTGTATAAATCAAAAACTTTCATTTTGGTCGTCAGATCAATGAGCAAAGAAACATTGAGTAAACGCGGAACATTAAGAAGGACTTTTTCACCTGTTGGTTTGAAAGGATCTGACAGAAGAGCAAGTAGTTCAGAGGACACGGGTCATGATATCACATTAACGTTCCAATGCACTGATGCACGTCTAGCCAAAAGACTATGGGATTCTTGCACCACACAACATTCCTTCTTCCGGTAAGTGTGAAAGGGCATTTTTTGTGACTGATTCAAGTTATCGTCAGCTGAGCAAATGTTTCCTGTAATTTCATTTTATCATGATATGTCACCATTTTTTAAAGATGCTGCGATTTTCGAATACATAAGGATCCCCTTTAACCAGGTGTCTTATAATCATTCTCGGAAGCAGAGGATAAATCTACAATAAGAACACTTTATTCTTCAACACTAGATACCTATCGTGACCCCTAAAATGGTTAGATACTGATAATACTAATTTATCAGTGTTAGAGAAAGACTGACAAAAATATTAAAAAAAAACATTAAACAGTGAGTAAGTTTAAGAAGCAATGAGTCATAAGCGATGGGTATGTATGCATGTTTATACGTAGTAACGCAGAAAAAACGACGAAAGCAAACACATATAATTCAGAAAAAAGAAGTCAAACAAAAAATTCATTTCCATACTTGATGTAGAAAGAGTTACTGTATTCTAGTTCAAGGTTCTATGGATCTGATTTGAAATATCTTAGTTTTTCCAACCTTTAGTAAGCCACTGACTTACTGCACTAAATGAAATGTTCTTCTCTCTTATTCTTGGTGCAAATGCCTAAGTGTGAAAGTTACTACATATCATCGGGATGTCGCATTTTAATCCACAGTATTGACATATTTTTGGCTTGGTACACATCATATCTATTTCTATCGCTTCAGCTCAAGTTGAATAGAATAATGAATGGTACGCAGTTTTCTTTATCTTGTCACTGTGATCAATCACAACTAGGAAGACCGACTCACATTATGTGATAACAGTATATTCCGTTTTCACCATACAAGTCAAGGAGTAAAGTCTGTTAAAAAGCCTAGTTTAGGTGAATAATAATATAAACGTTTGCTTGAAAAATGAACAGTTTATGGTGATAGAATATGGGAAACAACATATACAAACACATCACTTCATAGTTTATTCCCTTTAAAGATCTATTTCATTCAATATATAATTCATTTGTGAGACGGCTGACTAGATTTACAGTCGCGATATCAGGACTGCATGCACCTATGTGACTGAATAACACAACAAGCTGTAGACTACTGAAATCGATCTACAGATTTCACGGAAACCGTCTGAATGCCATATTCAGCTTCAGAGTTTGACTGCTTCCAGCATAAAATATAAAACTGCTTAAATTTATGCATATTTTTCATCAATAATACACTTCCGTTGTTAGCAATCTGCTGTACAGTGGGTATTCTGTTCGGCTGCTAAGTGAAAAGTAGTGAACACTTGTTGAAGTGTGTATATTGTATAAACTTTAATGACCACTAGCTGTACTGATTTATTTGTGAACATGAAAGCTACTCGTTCAAATGGATATTTCTAATAATTATGAATGCATTTCAAGTGAATGACTTGTCATATCTCTTAATCACCTTCTAATTTGAGCCAAGACACATATATTTATAAATTAATTTAGAATTTTGTGAAGTTGCATCACTTGATACTGCAACACATTGAACAAACAATCCAAAACAAAGATATATAGAATGATTCTGAAGTATACAGATATAAGACTGAAATTAAACAGAAAATTTTATTTTACATTATTATTGTTCCTTTGGGTTTTTAATGAAACGTAGGGCTTCAACAGCGCATCTCCACTTAGTCCTATTCCCTGAGGTCTGTCTTTGGTGCTTCTGCCAGCTGGTTGGTTTTCATATGTAGGTTTTCGAGTTTGTGTGACATTAGACGTAAATCACCCACGAAATCCAAATCTTCTAGAGTTTTCTTATTGGTCCAGACTATTTGTATCTTTTTGGCCCCACAGTGTATCGCATAATCCAGTCCACTACAATTAGGAATATCATCCGTGATAATAAGCAGCCTTGTTTCACTCTTGTCTCCACTTCGAACGCCTCGCTGAGTTTCCCATTATGAATTACTTGACATGGAAGATCATCACATAGCTGATGAACGAGGTTAACAAAGATTTGGATCCCGCCATATAGTTGCGGCAATTTCCAAATTACTTTGTGGACAACACTGTAGAAGGCCTTCACGAAGTCGATGAAGTTGAGATTTGACTACCATTCTATTCTCCGCTCGATGATAATGCGTAGAGCTGCAATTTAATCAGCACACAGTTTACCTTTCCCGAATCCATCTTGTTCAGGCTGGGAGGAGTTCTGCATCCAGTACATCTTTTATTCTCTCTAAGATGAAGCGGAATGGTATTTTATTTGGCATGGAGAATGAGTAAGATTCCACGAGAGTTATTGGGGAGGCCTATGTCTCCCTTCTTTGGTAGTTTTACGAGACATCCTTTCTTCCAATCGACAGGTACCCTTCCTAACTTCCATCCTAACATTTTACAATAGCTACCTGAGGATATCCACTGCAGTCTCTGGATCGATTGTCATTGCTTTAGGAGGAATTTCGTCCAGTCCTGCTGCCTTCCCAGGCTTCAATATCCTGATTGCGTTCAGGGATTCTACCTTTATTGGAGGATTGGTGGCTGCTGTTGGTAGTAGTTTTTCTGGGAGAGTTGCAGGTGATGGTCGATTCAGGAGTCCTTTGAAGTGATCAGCCCATTGTTTGATTTGTTTCTCCTTCTTGGTAATCAGGTTCCCTTGAACATCTTTTATTGGTTTCATCATCTGGGTTGATCTCTTCCTGGATAGCGAGTGACCTGGTTGTCTGATATAATGTCCTGATCTGTCTTCTACCCGCGGCCTGCCTGCCTGCTCTGCTTCAGTTGACAATGTGTCGTAGATTTTTCCTTTGTCCTTCCTAGCACTCTTCTTCACTTCTTTATCCAGTGCAGTGTACACTGAACTCAGATTCTCCTTCTGTTGCCCTTCCTTGCATTGAGTCATCTTCTCTTTCACCATCCTTCTCTTCTCTATTAGCTTCCAGGCAGATGTCCGTAGAGAGCCATTCCTTGTCTTGTCTCTTCTTTCTTCCTGGAACAGTTGTACACGTTTCCTTGAATATCACCTCCAGAGAATTCCAATGTTCTTCCACACAGGTTTCCTCGATGATAATGTGCAGCATCTCCGAGTTCTCTCTGATCTAATCTGTGGTGAAGGCATCCCTTGTGGTTTTGTCCTTCACTTTCTGAGTGTTGAACTTGAATTTCGGCCTGTCTCCAGTTGTTCTAAAGAAATTCAGCTTCACCTTGAAGGTTCCTTGAATTAGATGATATTCTGAGCCCGCCGACATCCTTCTCGAATTTGTATCCAACAAGCTAGCTGTGTCTCCACTTCCTCGAGCAACATCGAGATGAAGTCTGTTTGGTTTGTGGTATGTCCGTCAGGCGAAATTCATGTTACTTTGTATATATCTTTGTGCTTGTACACGCTGCCTCCGATTACCAAATCATTGGGGGTTGAGAAGTCTGTGGAGAGTTCTCCGTTCTCATTCATTTCACTGAGCCAGAACCCCTCGACCCATGATGAGTTTTCTTCTTCCACTGTTTGCTTGCAGTTTAACATTCATGATTCCATAAAAATTTCGATGTCTCCATTTGGGATGTTGTCGATTACTGTTTGTAGTTATCTGTAGAAATCAATCTTCTTCTTTTGTTCTGAGTTGTATGAACGTACATAGCACTGGATGACTCTGACCTTTCTTCCTTTTGAGCTGAATCTTGCTGTCATTATGCTGCTGGATGAAATTGGTTCCCACTACATTAGGGCTTTGGCTACCACTGGTTATATTATGATAGCCACTCACTGCCTCAGTGTGTTCGTGGTTGTCGTATAGGTGACAGAAATAGATTACTGGCTTTCCAGTTGATAGTTTCGATAGTTCACATTCATTCCATCTGCTCTAACAGATTCCTAGCACTTCTGTGCCATATCTTCTTATTTATATGGCTGTCTGGGCAGCCTTCCCAGCCTCGTACATTGTACGTATGTTCTACGTCCCCATTCTTATTCTTGCTTTCATCGAGAGAAGACATGTCAAATGGCTAATTGGCTTCCTGAAGACTTTCACCAGCCCTCTGTGTCATTCCGTCTCTCCGTTTCCGGCGAAGAACAAGTTTGTTTTCTAAATTTTTCTACTTTTAATATTTTTCTTGTGCGTTGGAGTTTCTGTAGCAGTTTGACTGATTTCCCGGGAGGGATTTCCCTCCTTCTTTTACAGGGCTTGGTACCGGCCAGAAAACTAGCGAACTAGTAAACTAGGTGAGCTTAAACATTATCACGACGTGTCGTATGCGGATAGCATGCAGTCTTCTTCAAACTTTGCATACTGCCATTAGGTCACGTACTATCTTTTCACGCCCTTGGCAGATCTGGCAACAAAAATCACGAACGTATGACAGGCTAGGTAGCGTTATCAAGAATCTCCAATAACTCATTCTTGGGATCCCAAAGATTGCAGTCAGAAAACATGTCGTTTTCTACACGACTCAGACCTACACTGGGACTTCCTGTTTTGGTGGGAGCACCTCCAGTCTTTTTCCAAATTGTTCCTACCTCAGCCAACAGACTTACTCACCTTGAAATCTGCTTATTAGCACTTTACAATTCCAACACACACAAAACAGTTACTGAAATTTTTAATGGTTCTTTTATTTCTGACATGTCCTACACAATTAAAGTAGATGCAAAACTAAGGTTTTTATGTTACGTGTTGCAACATACAAATTGATCGTAACTCCTTCATTTAAGCTTCAAAGCTTTCAAATGTCATATATTGTTCAAATATTGTCATCATGTTCTTCTTTCATACGTATTACTCTGTTTCAAATCAGATAGATCTTAGTTTCAAGCAAGTATTAAATCATGACATTTATACTGTGCGTTAAATGTACAGTTGAGCGATACATTGACAAAAATACGTTTCCCTGCAAGTGAATAACTCTGACACCTCGGAATTAATAAAAACTACATTTAGTTGGTGAAAGCGGAATTTGTCAAAGTTTGTAGAAGTTGTCCGTTCAGACCATTTGCGGCAAACTAAGGTGAATACTCAGTTATCGGACTAATCATTCTAATTGTAGCTGTTGAATATTTTTCATGACAAACTTTTTCTGTATTTCATAACTGAAATGCATTTCAACTTCACTTGACCTCAGAAAGTAATATATAAGCATAATCTATCAGAGACTCTTATAACTATTGTGGAATTTACCATATAAAAAAGTAAAAGCAAAAATTAAGTAAGCTACCAAAGAAACACGTGTTTTTTTTATTACATCACAATAAAAAGTAGAAAACATAGCTTAACTATGTAAAATGCATATAATCTAGGGCGTATGCGATAATAAGTAGATTATGCTTAGAAAAGGTAGTGTTTTTTCCTATCGATCAGATGAAATCAGACATGAACGTGAATTGTTTAACCAATCATCTGTAATAAATTACTTTACAATTTGTTTACCTCTTATACTAGAAAACCACAAGTGAAAGACAGATGGGATCGGTGATTATAATCTGCCTTTATTTAAGCACGTCTAAGTGAAAATAATTAATAATAATTACTATTATTTATCTAGTATCAATTTACTCCTTCTTCTTTATAATTACGAGTGACTGTGCAGTATCTGATAGATTTACTTCTGCAAATAGGGCGGTTATTGAAGTTACAAGAATGTACAGATGGTGGAAGGATTGATTTCATTCAAATTAATCTAATAAGAGTACTTAGACTGCCGTCCAGTTAAGACTCGACACTGAAAACCACAAGTAGTTCGATTAAACTATTTTGCTTTTAGTGATACATACTGAATTCATTTACAATGTAATCTGGTAACTTGGCGGGAAAAGAGTAGTTTAAACTTCACACACTCAAACTACTTGTAGCTGTTTCTCTTATTTTTCTTTAAACGTATTAAATATTTCTTTTGATTTTTTATTTCAGAATAATAATAACTTCTGAATAATATCTTTTCAATAGTTTAGCCACTCTGATAATTCTTACCAATTCCGACTTTTCAGGCCCTTCAAATGAACCATGTATCAAAATGCTTCTTTTAATTGAGACCAGATTATCTTTCAGGTAGATGGATATGGCGTTGTCGTGTTCTCTGACCTGTATGATTAATCTGAGCTTTCATTCTGTCTCTAGACATTTTCACTCTAGCGGTGAAGTTGATGTCGGGCGAACAACAAAAGCCTACCAGCTAAACCATTTGGTTTAGAGAACACAACAACAACAACAAATTATTATTCATCATAATCGTCCTCAGTTTGGACATTATTGCTTAGTTCATGTGATGAAAATCACCATTTATAATCCCAAAACCTTATTAGTATATATAAATATATATACTTTTCAAGGGATAAACAACAACCTCCAGTTTTTCAGCAGCAGTTATTAAATGATTGATTTTGCCAGTGAAACATTCAACAATATTTTGGTGTGGTTGTGTTCTCTGAGCTGGATAGTTAATTTGCGAAGCTTTCACCACCTTAGTAGGTGACATCTTCAGCGCACACTTCAATTGAAGTATTAGTGTTAGCATTAATCACCACCCATTATTTCAACACTAGAGTCCTTTTGCTTAATAAATCCCAATTATTATTAAGTAGTAATTCCATTTTTTCGTATTTTTTCCAAATGAATAATCTGGCTGCTAGACTGCGTGATACACCTGGACCTCAGCGACCTAACCTTACAACCGCCTTCAGTATGCGAAAATACCATTTCCCAAGTAAAACATTTGACGCTCAATCAAGACAACCTAGTTCTGAGTGGATAACACGACAACAGCCTCCTATCAAACGTGTGCAAGCTCAGAGAAAACCACCTAATTACAGTAAGTATTTCAGCTTTAAATGGAGTCCTCACTAACTTCTCACTGTAATTACAAATAATATCTGTTTTCACTACATACTTAATGAACTCATCTTCAATTAGGTATATTAATTCACTTGGTTTGCTGGTGGTAAACACATTCACTGACAGCAATGAGTAGAATAACTTATCTAAACTTCTTATCTTATTTTAATCCCTTTTTCCATTTAAAAGAATAACAGATGATATATGATGATAAAGTTTTAAATGATTCGTATCACTATACCATTTATCGGACGAAATTAAGGGTGAGTAGTAGTTTCAAAATATTTACTGTTAACTGGTAAATTATCTACTGAGCAAAACACTTGTTAGTGTATACACTACAGAACAGAATTTGGTTTGTCTAATTATGGAATGACATACTCCGCTGCTTTTCGTGTTCTTTCAATGTCGTAGTTTGTTTTGCTGTATGAAATATCACTGGAATCATAGACATCGTTTTCATGCTTTACTTATACGATCAGTTTCAAACTTTCTGAGGTCTATAATTATTGAATAACAACAATCCATAATCAGCTTAAATACACCTCTTCAATAAGTTTGAAAGTATAGTTGAAGAAAACCATATGAACCAAGCTAATGTAATATCTCCATGAAATTAGTCGTCAAGATCTGGTAACTTTATTGATCTTTTCGTCCTCACAGCTGTTTAGTCACAGAAATTCATGTATCATACACTTTATAAGTAACAGAGTCACTTCATTCAGTATTATTGAGGTTCTTGAATATATCTCAGTTCTCTTAATTTTGACAAGTAGATTAAATTATTACGAACAGTGGAATCAGTTATTCCGATAATTCAGACTGAGAAACTTGAAATTCTAACAAGTGTTGAAGAGACTATTAATTCGTAGTAAGACCCCTAATTAAGGATTTTTGAAGATAACGATGCTTAGAACACATGTTGCGACAAACTTAATACCATGAATACTGTAAAGTAAAGTTAGTAGACGAACAGAATGATATCCACTAATGACTTATAAAGTTGATTAAAAGTCATTTATACCAACTGTTAGTGCTTATTTTCTATCTAATTGATTTACAAGAAAAAATGTTAAACTTACGCTGATTTTGGCTAACTGTTAAGATGTTTGAGTGGCTTAAGGCATTAGACAACATTTCACGCAGTTATTACGTTGTCATAGTCCTTCGCATAGACCGTTTATTACCATTTCAGCTCTCCCTTTCCCGCCGACCCACGGTGGCAAACTCAATGAGGTGTTTGAAGTAAAAACAGGGGTAAGACAAGGTTTCCCCTACTATCACCGATTATATTCCTAGTTTTGGTGGACTGGATTGTGCGTCAGACTTACTGAAAAAGTAACGAAGGCAGAACTTTAAATGAACTTACAGAAGACACAGGTGATGAAGATAACCAACTAACAGCAACAATAACCAGCAGCAGTCACTATCAACACGAGAAATTTAAAAGAGGTAAATTCGTCTCAACTACAGGTGGATCGGATGGGGATGCCGAAACCAGAATCCGAAAGGCGAGACAGGTCTTCGTCACTTAGAAATCAGTTTGGATTTCAGCAAAGTCAAACACGTAGAAGTGGAATACATTACTTTCAATGATATATCTCTCATCATAGCCTTGGTATTTCAAATTTTATAACTGATTTCATCCGGCATCATGAACTTGACTTGTATATCTGTAACCGTTCATAGATAGATAAATGTGTATTTTAGAGCTGTAACTGAGGAATGCATATCACATATTGCAGATGGCAATAACAGAAGAAAGATTTGTAATATATGACGTCATGAAATTGCATACTGTAACTATCAGCTGAAAAATATCAAAATACTAGGATCCATTGATAACTGTCATCAAAGTAAATTCATTATGCTATTACAGTGAAAGGTGACTAAACTGCAGCACTTGAGGAGTAAGATTTACACATTTGGAGCCAACTTTCATCATTTAGAGGGTAACCAGATTTAATTTAACTCAGCTCGCACCACTCAGCCTAGGTAACTTAGACTTTCTTATATACTATGAAAAAGAATAACAGTTTAGATCTGTGTTGACACTTATCTCAGTTCAACCACCGAAGTTTACTGTTACCAGCGTTTTAGCTGGAAATCATCAAGTCAAAGTTGTAATATGTGACACAAAATGTATTTTAGTCGCACGAGTAAACTGAAACTCTGAAAAACTCATTCTTCTCTGGTTACTACTTAAGTGACAAGTAATTTTTTTTACTTTCTGGGTTCAACTGTTGTAACTAACTTCACTAATGAACAAATATATGAATAGTGTAACAACCGAGCAGAGCACATAGTTACTGCACTCCAACAATTGTCATTAAATTATGTTGATAACAAGAATGCCTATCGATCTGTAGTGAACTGTGCTCGTATATAGTTATTCTCTTTTATATAAGTGGTGACCCACTAACAGTGACTAGATATTAGTAACAAAAATGATTGTGTTGATTTTACTTCCTACACTTTGTACTTTATCACATGCTTTATTTATTCTCATAAGATAAAACTCCTTCAACTAGTCCACCACAGTTACGAAATCAAGGTCAGTGGACTTGAAGTGTTCATATTTCAAACTGCTAACTAACATGCACAGACACACGTCCACATTATTATTAACGTTGTAGCTTTAACTAACTAACCTAATATTGTGGTATGTCTTTTACCACCAGAGTATGGTTGGCTTTGATTAACCTATGCTTATTATATTAACAATATTTTGTGTAGTGTTGTGAGCAAACTGTACTCGCAGCTTGTTTACAAAGAATTTATAACTCATAAATGAAATTAGCCCCCTAACTGCACACAGTAAACATATATCCACAATGTATTTCAAAACATCGGTCGCCCCAATTGTATACTCATATGTGTCATAAAGACTAACGTCAGTAAAAACAATATCTTTTTGTTTTTCATTCATTGGGAAATATGAAAACCTTTATTTTAATGAATATCATATACCCCATTCCCAAATTTTTTCAAACTGTTAAAAGTGAACTTGGTTTGGACATATATAGACTAACGCCCTATTTAGTTAGAGCGACTAAATTGCTTCTGAATTTGCCAGTATTGCATATTCGAACAAAAAGTTGAAGGATTTCACTTTAATAGCTGAAAAAATTTATTACTTAAAACATGGGAATCAGCTATATTTATACAGACATGTTTTGAAGCTTCATGAAGAGACTCTGACATTCAAAATAAGCACTTTCACTTCTATGGTGTGAGTTTATTTCCATAACTAGTGGCATCGTTTCAACTACAGATGGCATAGATGAGGATGTCCGAGATAGGATAAGAAAATCAAGACAGACCTTCATTACTCTGAAATTAGTGTGGGAATCTACTACGCTCAGCACAAGAAACAAGATCCGGATCTTCAACAGTATGGTCAAATCAGTGCTTCTATGTGGTTCAGAGACTTAGCGCACGCATCACAAAAGGCATTTTCAACAGGCTACTGAAAACTTTCACCAACAGATGCCTTGACTCCATACTGAAGATCAGATGGTCAGTCAGAAAGGATTAGCAACAAGGAACTCTGGGAACAAACGAATCAAGAAACTGTTGCTCAATAAATAAGCAGACTAAAATGAAGATGGATTAAACATACTCTGAGGAGAATGCTAAGTGATGTTACAAGCCAGACTATTGCTAGCGTGGAACGCAAACGGGAAAGGATGAACTGGACATGTGTCACAGGGTGACACTAGTGGAGATCGTGTGAGAAGGAGATTAAAACTTACGGCCAGCTGCGCAGCCAGCCAAAGGGCACTGCAGAGAACCACACAAAATGGAGATATGTAATCGTAACCCAAGAGTATAATCATATAATTACTATAATAATCAGAATAAATTACCTTTTAGCATGATGGAATTTATTTCAAAAGAATGAACAAGTTCAATTGTAGTACAGACGTATTCGTGTTTATCTAGGATATCTGCAAGTGCTCTGAAACAAACAAATGAGACTATATGTAAAAAGGTGTAAGCCAAAACACACGATTTTCTTCAAGAATTCGACCACAGTTAACTGAAGATATATTTCCTTTTTTGGGCTTTTAATTCATAGTGAAACTTAATGTTTAGAAGTTTCTCATACTATCCATTTTAGTGGTTACACCATAGTGAAGGCGAACTTACTTACTATAGGTAATTACACAATGACTAAAACTTGTCAGGGATAGTTTCATTCCAGCCATAAATCACTTCATTTCCTTCCGTTCAATGTATTCGTATGTGAATTATAAAAGAAAAGTTACCGATGCATACATTAGCCCAATAATTCAATGAAAGTTCCTTAATTCCTAACGGTAGTAAGCCTAGATAAGTGATCGGAAAAATGTAGTCTTTTATTAGTTAGTTCATAGACTTGACCGTTATTTTAATTGTCATAGTGAAATATCTATCCAGAGACAACAGATGCAAAGGAATCTTTTATAAACTGTATATCTGACCTTTTTCCGTTGTCTCATGCTATGCGTAAATAGGAGTGGACCCCTTAACAGAGCATAAAGCGCTAAAAAACACTCTGAACCAATTACCTTCCTTTACACTATGCATATGAATGTTTAACTACAGAATACTTTCAGTGACCAACAGACTCAAATACTAAGAAAAGAACCAACAGATCTGCTAAGTGGCTTACTTATAGAGGATCGAACTTCGTACCGTAAGGTCTTTTTTAAGCATCTGTGGTCATACAAAAAACCACCAATTTTAAAGTAGATAATCATTTGTCTACCTGTAGAAGGTGAATAACCATAAATAATAGTCAATTAAAGTAGATGATGAAATCCTATAACCACTTTAAGTGAAACCTAACAGTGACGAAGATGTCCATACTTACATCATATTATGTAAGTTGTAATGGTTTTATGAATTCTTACTTGCATAAATTGGTCAAATTTCTAGTCAGTTTAAGTGACAAAACCTTTTGAATCAAATAATAACCGATGCTCGTTGCATAAGAGGTGGCTCTCATTGCCCAAGTGATCTAGCGGATAACGATTCGGCAATTGAAACGATGGTTACTGGGTTTGAGCCTCAGTGGGAACACGTCAACCACTGGAGAGTGCAATTTCATCCATATGATAAGTCCCAAATAGGACGAAAAGCGTATCATCTATTTCACTAAATTACTTCGGACTCTTTGGATAATTAGATCATTTATAACTGTTTCGATCCCCTGCCGACGCACACCTGATATCTATGATCGGCCTGCAAAATTTGGGCTGAAAATTCCATACCTGTACCAAAAAATACGGTATGGAATCAAGCTGTAATCAAAAATAATAAAAATTAAAATAAATAATTTATTATAGTTCAATGATTTTAGCAGTGTTACATACGCTTGGTTGTTTTTAAAACTAACATGTCATTTTTTCCCAAATTTATCATTTTAAGCAGAAGTACTAATGTAGACGAAAAGCATTAAGTAAATTCGATGTGTAGACAAGTGAATAACTAGCTATTAAATGTGGTCGCATTTTAACTCGTTCACTTGACATATTATACATGGAAATAGTACTTTTTCTGAGTTGAATTTCGAATTTAATGTATTGTTTTTATCTATCTCTGATCCTCTTTGTTTTACGTGGACCTGACTGATTTTCCGTTGTTCACTCAGTATTCTTTTGACAAAATACAAATTTTAATATCTTGCTGAAATTAATTCATCACTTTGTACCTATGCACAGATATATTTCACATTAACTGTGTACACGCTCTTGACTTTTTTCCGTAGAAAAGCTGACAGTTGTTTTGCACTCAATGTTCATTTATCATATATTAGTTACTAATTAAAAATTGTGGTATACATTTACAAAGTAAAATCATTTAAACACTTGTTTTTTTTAACTTCATTGTTTTACTGTAAGTATCTGGAAGTGTTGCACCAGTTGCTTACGGAGAAGAACCTGATCAGTATTACTTAATGCCTGGATCACCATCTCCCTTGCCTGCTAATTCAGTGAATGTGGAAATTTTACAAAATCTGCCCCCAGCATATCGTAAACCAGGTCCAATCAGAGTGCCTCTACCAGAAGATCATTGGCAGATGTCAGCAGCTGATTGTACACAAGGTTTAGGAAGAAATATTGACGGAACGGACATAGCTGCAATGCCAGATACAGAATGGCAGGTAAATCCCTTTTTAAATTCACAAACCAAAAATAATTAGTTATTTCATAATCTTATGTTAGTCATCAGTGAAACATTTAATACACAGTTGGTATTAATTGAAAAGTGTCAAATTAGCCTGCATTACGCCAATTCAAATAATTTCCTGTCAAACGCAAATTTTACTGATCATATTGTCTATGAGGAACTACACTTCCCCCTTCAGACGGAAACTAATTTCTCAGATTCGGTTGGGCTGGAAGACAGAGTGAAAGTCGCAGATGTAGTGTGATGACATTAAAGTCGAATGCGCAACTTAGATTTGTAAAATGCGAATCGAACATAGTTATTCAGGAATTCGTCTTGCACATTATTAACTATCAAATTATGACTTTTAGATTCTCTTCATTTTCCAGCATATAACAGCGTTAGACGTATATCTTCTCCACTCTGCTTAATTTCAGGGTTGTCGAACAAACTGGGGTCTGAAGTGGCCGGGAGCTTATTATTATGAAGCCTGTATGTTGGAGGAGGGTCAGGTACGTTTAGGTTGGTCAACAAATGATGCAAGCCTAATACTTGGTACAGATTCCAAAGGATTTGGATATGGAGCTGATGATACAGGTTTGTTTCACTTCTATACTAAAGTCAAATGTTTATCAATGTTTCTAAACTTAACTGTAGTGAAATTTGATTAACCTGATCAATGCGACGAACAACAAGATTCTGTCAACGCGAATTATTCATTTTGTTGTGGTTGTTTGACACTGTTATGTCGTACCTCCCTCGGCTAAGCTTTTAACCTTAATTTTAGCGTGTGAACTAATGCCCTCCCCGCATTAAGCAGTGTACAGAGGGATTAAACTGACAGAAAATTATACTGTGTGACAATTTAAACCCCACTTGTTTAAAGTGACAACAGATATACAAAAAATGTGTGAATTAAGCTGTCATTAGCACTTAAGTTCTACAAATTAATTGCTAACTCATTTAAAAATATGGTGGTTCGACTACCAGTTACCTTCACTTCAAGGTTTATCTTGTTAAATGTTATGTTATACAACTCTTCTAGGGATAATTGTTCCACTTATACCTAGTCACTTATCTCTGAATCTAGAGAAGGAAGAGAACTGGTCACTTTTTACACAACAAGCCTTTATAATAGTGTAGAAACCACTATAATTTTCGAGACAGTCGTAAATGAGTTCAGTTTTGATGCTGAAGTCAATACTGTCCACCAGGTAAATCATACAAGAAGTATAACAGTTGCTCATATTGTCTGCGGTTTTTAGTTATGTTTCTAGACTGATTTCCTCTAGGACATGCTAAATTAAACATACCTATGAAAAGCTTATTCTGTAATTGAATTTGTGCGCACTCTGAACCCTCTTAATAAATGTCAGTAATTCAGATAATTAGAATCCTTAAGCCATAGAGCCGTTGCGGAAGCTGAACTTTAAATGGCATGAAACTATTGTCCAGAAATTCAGTGACACAGTGTCATAGAGTACACTACTGATAGGTCTAAATAATACCTTCAACAAAAATGGTAATCCAAGGATTTGATGGCAACAGTTCTAACAATTTTGTATAAATCTCCGAAGTTTCTTAAAATTCTGTTAATATAATCTTATATAATTCTAAATAACATAGATCGCATTATGTAAGACCGCATTTTGGGCAAACTGATCACCAACTCTTGCTACACTAGTATCATAACAATACCCCACAAAATCAGACTTAAATAGCCCATATTTCTATTCAATAATCAGTGTATTAGCAGATAAAAGGCTTCAACAAAGATTTCGTTTGTCGGTAATGACAGGTTTACAAGCAGCCTAGTGAGTTTTCTATAGGAAGGTTGATGCAAACGCTTACAGATAAGATAAAATTCTGTAAAAGTGCTTAATTCGGTGTACTTTCTTGCTTAAGATAACTGATAATTGTGTATGATTTAAATTATCTTTACTTTTACAAGTGGCTAAATTAAAGTGTAAAATTAGCATACAAGAACGAAAAAGTGAAATAACTTGAAATTATTTCTAACGTCTAAGGGTTAAACTAATCTATTGTTTCCTATGAAATAATTAATTTATCACATCAAACGACATTATATCGTGGCAACAAGCTCTCTTCTTTTTATGTGAGGAGCGAAAAATAGTCTCGCGTTCATCACCATTTATTCCTTTTTTATGTTTATTTCCAATAAAAGGAGCTGGATCAGCTGCTAATTCATGTCCTGTAGGAAAGTTTATCAATGCCAATCGTTCAATTGATTATGGAATGCCGATTGTGCCAGGTGACATAGTTGGGTGTTACCTAGAATTAAATCCAGATGCTACTGAGGATTACAAATTCATAGATATACATTACAGTTATAATGGTCGAATGTTACAGACGCCGAACTTCAAAGTGGACGAAACACTTACTGTGGATACGGCATTTTTCCCTGGTAGGTTAAAGAATTGTAAACATTTTAGAAGATACAAACCTATGCTTTACAAAGTTGGGATAATGTAAACTATCTTTTGCTTTATATAAGGTAATGAATGGCACTGATACACAAATATTGTGAAAACTGAATATTAATGTGATCATCACAACTATGCTGATAACCAGGTTAAGATGATCAGTATAAGTATTGACAGGTAGTTTGATTTTACAATTAAAGTGTGTCAACAACAACAAACTTTATCTGTTCTCAAGGAGTAATGCTGGCTATTTAGTCTGTGTTTAAGACTCTTTGGTTTAGCGTCCATTACCACAATAAGGACTGAACTTTCAGCTTACAAGTCGAGGACTGAATTTGTCAGCATCAATATTCGGAAAATTTTCTGTTCTGTCATATAAGTATAAAACTTGAGCACTGTAGTAGAATATAACTCCATTATGGATAAGATTTTATTTTGATAAATCACACAATGTTTTACAGTTATATTAACTGATGACGTTTCGAGCACAAACTATTGCTCATAGTCATATCAAGTTCTGTTCTGTTACTCATGAAATTGAGTCCATCATGAAACATTTTGTCAGAGAATGTTTATTTATAATGTCTAAATTTGATTTGCCTTTCATTCTGGGGAAGTTAAAGCTTTTAAATCTACAAGTTAAATTTACTTTACTAAACTCAGTGGCACAGTCTTATTAACTCATTGATAGATATTTCAAGCACAATTTGTACTTTAAAATCATATTAAGGCTGAACATGGACAATAAATTGTTACTAAAACATCATCCAGTTATAAACATTCTTACAGTATGTTAAATAAAATAAACTTTTATAATATTGAGTTATACTCTACTCTTACATTAATAATCCCAAACCTACGCATATATATATATATATATATGTGAATGTAATGCTTGATTATTCATTAATCATTTCTTTTTGCTTACTAAATAAATTCATACCTTCTGTAAAACTCATACATGTATTCTGACACCATTGTAGACAATAATTTTCAACTAATCAATATCTTTTATGTATCTTGTATCTTCTATAAAATTGTGTACTGTTCACATAGTAACCAGTAAAAATCAATCATACTTAGTTATAGTCAATGATTTTATTCATATAAAATACCACCAGGATTCTTACCATTTGACTTGATATGTCATTGATGTGAACTGTAAGCCAGTAGCAGTTCAAATAATTTGGACTGCTAGAATGATTCGCTATGTGCTCAAGATGGAATGGAATTATATAAACGAAGCTAGAAAGTTGTATGAGTACCTTGATGTGATTATGAGCAATAGTTTGTGCTCGAAACGTCATCAGAAAGTATGATAAAACTTGACATCTGCATGCATGTACATTATCTAATTAACTTTTTTAACAACTATTTCATTTTTTAAACACTTATTTGATGCGTAGCTGTTTCACTCAAAAATGCTAGAGTTGAATTAAATTTTGGTGACAAACCGTTCAGCTTTCCACCGAAAACCACATCATTATCTGGTAAACCCTGGGTAGCAGTATCACATGTTCCTAGCACATCAGTGGTATCCAATCAGAATGTTGGTTGGCGTGTTAATCCGAATGACGTAACCTCAAGTACAAATTTGTTAGTTTCACCCAACGGTCGATTTGTACAAGCTGTAGAAAATACTGGATGGCAAGGTTTTCGAGTAAATAAGGTAAATACATGCTTCTATGAATTGGTAATTTCAATCTTAATAGCAGTTTATTTCATGAAGAAAGAATTTGATGCGTATTAGATTAACAGCATAACCATTAGATTCCAGAAGTGACAGAATCTTTTTTAAAAGGAACGCATTTCAGTACAATAAGCATTTAAAATTAGTTTCCTTTTAGATTATACAACAAAATTGCACTTTTAAACACTTTAAAACTAAAAGTCTGAGGCAATAAATTTGCGTCTTCGAGATATTATTTTATCTTGCATTCCTAGGACTGTGACTGAGTATCACAACTGTGTTTTCTGAAAATACCTTACTGGATCTACCTTGAAACTGTGATCACTAACTTAAAGAACTAACAAATTACCATAAGTGTACTCTCCGAATAGGATTTTTGTGATAATATTTAAGCTGAAGTGTGAACAAAAAATTATATCAGTTGATGAACAGACACAAATGAAACAGTTTCACCTAAGCTTATTGTTCCTGGTTATAGGATTTCAAGTGTATGTCTACACTTTTCGTGTTAAAATTGAAGGAACAAAATGATTTTGTAAGTTTACGAAATGCTTTTATCTTGTATTGCTGAGCAACAAACACCTAAGAGTGAAATAAACGATGAGTTAATAAAGATCATAATACAGACCTACAGTCTTTCACTTTCAGTCATCTGAATGCAACGAAATAAAATGTTTATCGTAATAGATTTCAACTGCTTAAAAAGCATATGCGTTCATAACAGCTGAAGTCCTTTTAATCGTCGAAACCAAAGCGATATAGTGATTTTTATCTTATTAACTACATTCATTCAACAGGGAATACTTGGTGACAGAGCTTATTACTATGAAGTAAGGATTGTTGAAGATTCCGGATTGGCGCGTATCGGCTGGTCTTTTGAAAACGGATCGTTAGATCTTGGAGTTGACTGTTTCGGATATGGTTATGGGGCTGATCGAGACGGCTTTGGCATAAATGGTTCACAAGGAAAGAAGCTGCACGGAGATGTCATTGAAAATTACGGTGAAGTAAGTTAACGTTTGAATTGTCGTTCTGCTTAACTTTCTATAAGACTGAGAAAACATCCAAGGGTTTCCAGCTAGAATTATATTCAGTGGAATAATTTCTTGCCAGCTATCCCATATCAATAAATTAAGTTCATTATTCACTTTTTCACGTATATTTTATAAATCTCTTTGCTGACATCACCCATGCACTTAGTCAACTAACTTTTTTTGCAAGGATTCATGTCAAGGTTACCAAAACGTTCCACAGAAATTAAACTTACCTATAACCAGTGGTTTGTGAAGACCATTTGTTCATTTCAACACAATAAGTTCTAGGCAAATGAGTCGTTGTCACTTAGCACTGCACCACAATGATGAAATGCTAGACTTTCGAACTACTCTATACAAAAATTAATGATTGTTATTACATACAATTCACTGTAGGGTTACACGCTAGCAAAAATATTGTGTACAAAATACGGTAATGGTTCTCTAACCGACATCAGCTTATGATGAAATCCTGAAACCAATCAAATCCCCGCAAACCAACACTTGAATTTAGGTAATAGTTATTTGAAACAGCTGAATATTTAATATGACATAAAATCATACCTAATACATAGAAGACATCTGTGGTAATTGAAAATTACTTGCTACTCAAAGTAAAACGATATATCTTTTATTAGATTGCTTATTAGATATATCATACAGTGAAACAGTATTATTTACACAACTTTTAAGTGTTTATGAGAGTGGAAGATAAAGATAAACATCATCTAATATCATGCGGTTTGTCCGCTGTGCACCTTAAACAAACCGTCGTGATAATCAAAACCGATGAAGACATTATTTACTGTAGAAGGTCAACTGCTTGCCTTGTTTTTCTTGGAACTTTCCGTGCCATACACCAAATCCTTGCTCATTCAAAGTGAGATGTAAATAAGTGACATGCCTTATCTACTCTAACCAGAATATCACAATTCATTAATCGGCTAATATATGTAACTAGTCTGAAATAGTTCACTGTATAAAAAAAATACACATGAACAGTTGTCTAATGACCAATGATAAATGAACATTGAATACAATTTTTCTGAATAAAAGTCGCAGTCATATGCATTTATTTTACATGCAAAGGAATGAAGGTCAAAATAAATGCCTCATAAAGGTTAGATAGGTTGTAAAAATAGAAAGGAAACACAACTTTTTTAGTAAACATCACGGTACCTAACAACACAGCCTTATACGCCTAGATATTATCTGTAGTACAAAATCAAAGTCAATATAATTTGGTAAATTTTTAATGTTAATGGCAAAGAATATAACCATGCAAAAGTGTTAACTAGTTTCCCAAAAATCTGAGCACTATTCTGTTATAATGATCTCATTTCTTTATGGTACTAATTTCTCATAATACCAACTTTAAGTCACTAGTACACATAAAAACAATGTAGAGTTTCAAGCGATCACGCATTCTAGGCTAGAGAAGTAAGGATATCTCAGTTGAATCACAAAAGTCATAACGCAATCTGTGAGTAACAACTGCTTCTTAAATTGAGGACTGAAGTAAGACAGTAAAAACAGAATAAAACCGAGGTTTAATGCATTAATTGAGATTCCAGGATTCTTCAATCTCCTTAAATTAGCATAAACTCTCAAAATTAATGACAGTTACTCTGAGCATAATGTGTCAATGGACTAGAGTAGGTATAAAATATACCTTGGTTATTGTGCCGATTCAAAGATCATTTAAGGTTCTTATTTCATTGGCAGTTTTGTACACAGAGGTGGCCAGTCTAAGCATCAAAACATGTGGATGCTGGCAAAAGAACAATAATGCCTTAAAGATGATACTGTGACGACAGAAGGCAAGAGTCAGGCAACAGATCATTTATTAAGGAAATCAAAGCATATTTATATATTTTCATGTACATTACTATGGATATTTAAGTAAACAAACACAGTCTTCCTATTGGTTGTTTCTCACGTAAAGTTAATCTTTCATCTATTTGTGACTGTTTCTTGAATGTCAAATCCTCTATATGTTAACTGCATCCGCCTACGCAAAGTCTGCTGTGGTCGGTTTTGAATCAATCTTTGTTCACATTTTCTCACGACAAATCTTGGGAACGTTAATATTGACGTAAATTACTGTCTACCAATTTGGCTTGTAGACAGCTCTCACCACAATACTAGCATCTCTCAGCAATTTTTTTTACTCTTAACAAAACATAGATGTGCCACCAGTGTGATCTGATAAAACAAACAAGCTGACATGACTTCTTTACTCAGTTTCTTGATATCTGAGGAAGGTGAGAAGATAGCATGTCTCATCTACAGCAATGTCAACCCTGGCTGAGCTTATCAGAAGGAAATGGTGTGTGAATACTTCCTTAAATAAGGTGCTACATATGATCCATAGGTAAATGTTAATCTAATTAGTGTCTGAACCTTTTTTTCACTTTAAATAACTACGGTCACTAGTATGTGGATCTTCAGTATTCATACCATCGTGATTCGATTATTCTGCATGAAATGTGCTGGACTTGTTTTACAAACTATTACTGGTGCATATTTGTAATTCAGCTAGTGTCTAATGCTTTGTTTCAATTAGACAATCAGACAAACTTGTTCCTTAAAGAAACTATGACTAACATACATCACTGTGATAACTGTACAGACGACGATAAAATTCATAACAGAAACTAATTATTGATATGAATATTTTGAGACAACTCTTGAATACTAACAGTAAAATAATAGTATATCGCAAATCTAAACTCAGCTGGGAATGTCTCTTTATTCACTCACTGATCTGGAACCACTGAAGTGTGAAATTTATGCTCTAAATGTACTTTAATATATTTCTGATAGTTGTTAAAACGTAAACTTTGATGTTTTATTTTCCAAACACCACTAAAAGGTGAAGAGAATTTTAAACCACGAATTCTCGTTTTAAAATATATAGATGGATGTTTCACTTGTCAGAATAAAAAGCTGTCATTCATTTTAAAATGTTTCTGAAATTCACTTTAATTTAATCCACTCTTTTATTTAAATGGTTGCCCTATATTTTGCTGGTGAGATTCACATAGATAGTTGTTTTTTCATGCTCAAATGCTGTTTGGCTAAACATCTATTTGTGCTAAATTTTCAAACCGCTCGGTGTAATTTTTCCAGGAACTGCTGAAAATTTCCCTGTAAATAATGTACTATATAAGTTTTCTTCCTTTTGCGTTTTCTAGCTAGCTGATATACAGTAGAAACATTCTGAGTTACAACGTTTTCGAATGTCTTTTTGAATTAGTGGACTGTCTAGAACTTCCAATCATTGTAAAGCAATGACTTCTTCTATTAACCTTAATTCGGCGCCTCACCCTATTTTCAGCCAGGCTTAATACTGTTCTCAGATGTAGCTAGATTTAGCTAGCAGTCACTGATGAAAATAAATAATCTCATCATTTTAGGATGAATATGTTACGTTGACTAAAGTGTTTATGATATTATACCAGTAGAACTGCGTTGTTCTAGATGTCCATTTAGTCATCCATTAAAGTACTGACTCTAGTGAATCTGCTATTCTACCATACAAGAAGAAGATAGTAATCTGAATATTTATTATTATTAGCTGCTTGAGTTACTAGGACTTCAGTAGTACATCTTTATTTCACTTTGTTCTCTGTTGTCATTTTAACTGACTTCTCAGCCTCCTACACGCTTTACTTTCTTCCTCTTCATATGATCTCCCCCTTGTTACCTTCGGACGCCTAACTCGTTGCTTCACATTCAGCTTCCACTTGAGAACCTGGTGTCACTTGGAGGTCTTTTCAAAGCATGTCTACTTCATCCCCATTTATTTCTACATTTTTGTTGGGTTATAGGTTCTTGTTTGGTTCGTTACCATAGTTCTTTGGTGCTTACTCTTTACGACAGATCAGCCATCTGATGTTTAGTAACAAAAGTTTGAAGCTTGTTAAAAATGTCTTCGGTGAAGCATCGTGTCTCTTATCCATGTAGGAGCACTGACTTGACATTGCTGAGAATTCGATTGTCACTTTTTATGCTGAGTTCTGAAGATTTCCACACTAATTTCAGAGTAATTAACATCGGTCGTGCTTTCTTGATCTGATCCTGGCTTGGTTTTCCTCATCTGTGCCACCTGCCTTTAGTTGGAACTATGTTGCCCGGGTAGGTAAGTGAAATAGATGACTTCCTTTGGATCCCTTTCGTTGATGGAGATTAGTGTTTGGTGGTGATGGTTAGGTGTCTTCATCAACACTTTCTTCTCTGCTCCTTCTGACAAAAGTGAATAAATAACAGGATAAATGTAGTTTACCAGGAATAAAATGAATTTTAAAGTTATGTACTTAACTAATAATAATATTTCACTTTAGGGCATTTCAGAAATTCATTCAAGTTCTCATTCAAGTTTTTGGGGGGGGAATTTTATCTTAGAGCTGATACAAAATAGGTGTTCACACAAGTATTAGGTAGCAGTATCAGTTCATTTGCTGAGGTTAGTCGTAACGAAACTTAATATTCACTATTGTTATTTAAATTTTGACGTACAGATAAAAGTTATTTTCAGCCCTTAACAATATCTCCTTTTTGTTTTATTTACAATATATCAAGAACCCAAACAATTATTTTTTTACAATGATAGGCTTTTCGTAAAGATGATGTTATTGGCTGTTTCTTGGACCTGGGTAATGGAATAATACAATGGTCAAAAAATAACCGCTTATTTGGTCCAGCTTATGAAATTGATAAGAAACTATTAAAGAGTAATGAACCAATTTATCCAGCTGCCTCTTTAGTGGACACTACATTAGAGTTGAATTATGGAGACTTACCATTTAAATATCCACCAGAAGTGAGTGAATGTGTTTTTACAACAACTCACATGGCAGAAGTGGTTCTCTGTCACTCATCTTAATTTCTACATTTTCTGTTATGAAATAGGTTATCATTTTATTTGTGAATCCTTATCACAGTAGGCTGGAGTGTACGATTTATGTCTAAACAAGGCCTTTCGCTTACTAATAGGCGGGATTTTCAGAAATGTACACAAGAATTTAAAGTAGATCTCTGATGTATTCTGCAATATCAGTATAAAGAAGCTGGATCCACTTAGATTACATAGACTTTCATTAGGAATGGATAATTCATGTTAAAAGCATTATGTTCTGGCACACCTCGATAGTTCGTTTACCTGCTATATACACTTGTGTGAAGCCCGTGTGATGAATAAACAGTAAACGTCACAAGGTCAAACTGCTGAAATGCATGATAAACCATATATGAAATTACCACCTTAGTATAAAAAAGGAAATCTCATACTGAATACGTGTCGCAGAGGAAGGTCTGATGTAATGATGTACTATATTCTAACAAATGAGTGTTGAAAGTTGTTTTCTCTGAAAATGTACTGCTCAGTCTAAACTGAACTGTTAACTGCTAGCTGTTTGAAGTAAATAAAACCGACTGAAAGATAAATCTATGCAAATATTTTGTGGATTTTGTAAATGTTCTTCATAATGAAGCATCAGTACAAAATTATTTCACGTAAGAAGTACACAAAACTTAAACTCAAATGCTTAATTGAGACATCGTAAAAATAATAATGTATTTCTTTCCACTATGCAAAATCTAGCAACTTAATAGTTTTATAAATATGCTTTTCTAGGATGACTGGACCCCACTGTTTGCAGCTTCAGACGAATGTGTATACGAATCAACTAGATGGCCTAGTCCTGTAAGTAATTCAAAAATTCACTTCATTACTAATTTACGTGTACAATAAATCATGGCGTAAAATTATTATTTCTGTGATACAGTTATAGTAGTTGTGTTGTATTCCTGGATAATTTTTTATAAATTTACATTGACTTGTCATTTCAATAAGAAGAGATGAATGGAGTAAAAACCTTGGTGGTTAATAGAACACTACAAAGTATGACAATGTATTTGTTAAAATATATTTATTTAACTATATACTACTTTCATATACTTCCTTTTACCAATATTATTGTTTTTTATTTCAATAAAGAATACAATCAAACTTAATAGTCATTCAGAGAAGCCTTCGACTACGCATAACTTACAAGTAGAAACGAATTCTCAACTTGGAGAAGGAATGAGTTCAAATTCATCCTACGCTAGAAATCATACTCAGAATAATAGTACTAATAACAGTAATGACACTAGTAGTAGTCCTAGTAAGATGCATGAAATGCATACGGGAGAAATACGCATCGATTCACCGTCATCAAGTGACCAGCAAGAGGATGAAGTGCGAACAGTAAGTTAGACAATATTTCATGTTCTTATTTTGATATTAAGTAGGAAAATGAATGGTTTTCTATATGCTAAAGTCGTAGTCAGTGGTGGTGTACTTACCTGAATATGACTGTCACGTCAGATGGCAGAATTGTAGCGTTCAGGTAACTGAGTCATAACAGCCGACCCTGGATGAATTGGATTTAATTTTTTACCTATAAAGATAAAAAAGCAAACGAATTCAGCTTTTCAGTAGAAGTTTAGTTGGCTAAACAACTTATAATGAAGGGGGTTCGCTTTCTGAATATGAACAAACTGGTTCGCACAGGTCAGTCGTCTCATAGCCAACTGGTAATCAGTGGACAGTTGTTTCAGCTCTTAAATGACCCGTCACATCGACATGTTTACCTATCCACGGGGATCCAAAATATTCCTGCTTGAAATTAACCACTTATTATTAAGATAAAATTCTGTATGTTTCATTTCAACATTAACTGTTGTTTTTATCCTGTTTGAAAATATAATGACCGGCAACTCTCCCCCGTTGAACACGTACTGTTAGCGCACTTACAAAAAGATAACATCTCCCGTAAAATTATTATACATATGCCAAGTGATTTCGAGTACACATACGCTTAGTTTCCTCAAGTAACGTTTGTGTAGAATTTAACATCAAAACTAACTTACACTTTATTTATATGACTCCATTCTCAAAATCACCACCATTGCGAATTTGTTAATGGAAACTAGTTGGGTGATGTGACCATGGATGTCTGAATGGGCTCAGTAAAGGCCTTAAGATCCCAGTAACTTCTTAACACGACAGTTACTCCAACTTTGTTTTCCTGACTGATGGAGATAGACTTGTTCTTTAAAGCAAGAAAAATACCAACTTTTCAGAGGCTGAAGGTTAGGTTGACAACATGACTCGCCGAAATTTCGAAAAAAATAATTTCTTACTATGATCCCATGTTACATATATCGCTCTTTTTGAGTGATATGTATGGTTGCAGGTGACTGTCAAGAGGCACTAGACCTAGGCTTTGCGCTTGTTACTAAAAGTTAACTGATAGAATTAATCAAGGATTAAGGAACGAAAAATCAACAAATATATTTTTCTGATTTCACTTTTAGTAGGATGAAAACTCTTAGTTTCTGTCAGCATCCACCACTAGGTTTTAAGCTCAGCTTACAGTGAGTGATTTTGAAAGCGATACAGTCGAACAACTATTTGTGTTTTAAAGGTGAATTATTAGCGAAAATATCATGAATTTGATTTGAATAATTTCCCTGTTATTCTTATGTTGAAACGTTTCTTCTTAAATTAGTAAATAATCATCACTTTCTCAACACATCTATTTAGTATGAAATAAATGAAGATCATAATTTACAATGTTTATAAATCAGGCCATTTTACCTTAACTGAGTGAAAACAGTTGATTGACTGGAACTAAGTCTAATAATAATAATTATAATAATAGCGATAATAATGATAACAACTTTTTGGCTAAATTCATTTAATATACTCTTCTTTAATAATTTTTGTTTTAGTTTCTAGAGGCTAATGACCCACTTACGGAAAATCATTTGGGTTCCCTTTGTAATGCTGCATACACAACACATGCAACTACGGAACGATTCGAATTAGAAGTATGTCACTGAAATACTTCATATTGCCTTTTAATTTATTGAGTTACTAAAGAACTATTATGGAATGAGCTAATCTTCAAACTTCATTGTTTCTCGACATATGAACCAGGAAATATCTTTTTAGTAAGGCCTTAATAACTAAACAAGTAACTCACTGATATTCGTTTCGCAGTATGGCTATACTAAGTGGTTTACTTTTATTTCTTATGCCATATTCCTTTAACCAGCGACACTTCAGTCTCTCTTGAAATCACAGAATTTTCAGACATCTTGTTAAGTAAGAACGATTGTGGTGGCTGAGTCTAGAGTTGAAATACCTTCTATTTTTACTGGAAGAAATGAATGTAGATGGGCAGTTACGAGAAGATAAAATCTTACGTACTCTAGTGTTTACATCATCCTGCGGCTCCTTACAATCATTTGTAATCATTGTCACTGTTATACCATTTCTATTCATATATATTATTTATTTTAACATGTGATGTAACATTCCTAGTTTTATCAGACCGAAGTGACAGGCATTTTTTAGCCTGTAGGCTCCTAGAAGAGGCGACTCAGTAATGCCTTTGGTACAATATTTGATATTATTTAGTAAGCGGTGGTTATTAGTGAAATCAAAAATGTTCAGTAGGCTAGTTCAATTTCAGTGAAACATAACTCATCGGGTGGGACTTTATTCAGCTGACAAGTCCCGAACAAGATGAGGCGCGCATTCTGGATTCCACTGATAGTCATCGTCCTCTAAATCCATTTTAGCTTTATTATTCATAAAATATGAGCACTCAGTTGCAGGAAATTAAGTGAATCAAATCACAGTTAACATATTTTTGTTTATTGAACATACACTAAATTTGTGGTTACATGGTTGGTGGGGACTAGTAGCGGAATTCAGAGTGCTTGTTTCGTCGCGTTTAACACTCATCAGCTTATATATATTTCGTCAGTGGTACTAAATTCGGTAGTTTATTCGTTCACTCTTTGTGAAGGCAACATCAGTCATACTTCTGTCAGCGGGAGAGTTCGTAATGAGACACCACAACAGCAAGTAGGTAGCTGCAAAAGTGAAGTAAAAGTTTTGAAAAATTAAATCATTATAAAACTTGGTTGTCTAATTTAAAACCATAAGGTATGCTGGAGCAAATTTAGTGCCCAAACCTTGAATTCATTACAGTGATAAACTTTAGGCTTAACCACAGGCCTGCTCCACTAAACAAATCCCCTAAGTCATCATATTTTTTGCTTTGGTGTTGAACAGATTCTTGGTTAGTATGTTGTAAATAATGTACTAAAGTGATGGTTTAAGTTAAAGGGAGTAGACGATCCACTTAGATTTTTTTTATTTCCCAGATCACATTTATTGACTGAGATGTTTAAAGATTTCTCTTTATTAGAACGAACCCTAATATCGTTTAGGAGCGCTCTGTCTTCAAAGACCATGGCAAGTAAGTCAGGAATCAAACATTGTACAGCTTTTTGATGCCAGTTTTGCATTTTGTACAGATTAAAACTTAAAATCTTAACATACTGAATTATGAAAACTAGTTGTAAGCCTCATCCTACAGTAGGTATCCATTTCTTAAGTGAGTTAGTAGTTAACTCTCTGACTCCGGTTCGATTCTCGAAGGTGACATGAATTTCCTCTTGCTTGTAGATATGCCTTACTGATAAGAACTAAAAAACATACAACATTGGTTCAAGGCATTTTGTAATCTTGATTTTCTCAACGATCGGAAATGACTCGAAAATAATGAGTCCTACCATAATTTCAATTTGCAGACTTGTAAATAATAAACAAGAATTATAGGAGAAAATTCCAATTTCGCGTATTAATCACTCTATTATTAGCAATGCAATAAACAAATATATTACGTTAAGTTGAAAATTAACCATGTAGTGTTGTAGTTATCAGGTCGGTTGATTTTTTTGTCTTCATTCGAAGAATAAGTTTGATGCATTGATCTAAACAACCACGTTGCAATATGAAAGCTTGATTTTTTTTCTGACTTTATCTCTATTTAAAATCATCTTATTCATTTTGCATGATAATACAAGTTTGTATTTCAACTAGTCGTGTTTTATTGAGTCATTTGTCGCCCAGTATACTGAAATCCTTAGGCCCAGAGTAGTTGTATTACTTTTAAGTGTATATTGTATAGTGTCAACGCCAATAAAATGTTTTCCTCTTCCAAATTATAGGTTAAAAGCAAAGCTAGCGAGACATATCACCGAAATTCTGTGTCACACGTACATGCGGACATTGTAAGTTTTAGTACTCCATCTATATATTTTATAGTTACCTATTAGTAATTTATGAGTATTTGGTATTAGTGGTGTTAGAGTTAGAGTCATACAAATATCATTTTCAATTTTAAAAAAGAAAGGTACATGAACACACATCTTGGCTTAGATAATACGTTTACTATATCAGTTTGTGTTTCATATAATATATGAATGCTTCTATTCAGGTCATAGTAGTGCCGAAACCACTTATTCAGATAACTGATACAATAATGTTGTTAAACCACTTATGCTACTGTTTTGTTGGTAAGTAATAAAATAAATGATTTTCATTCCATCACCAACACTTTCTAACCACTAGGTTACTCCAGTAAACATCAGTCCTGAATGTTGTGACAGCATCACTGCAATGGTGGACTGCGATTTCGTAAGTATTCTGATACTAAAAATCTGGCTATCTTAAAAGCTAACAACTACATTGCTTTTATCTTATAGTATCCGCTTTTATTCTTTTTCATCTGACGCCTGGCCAACTTACAGGCCTTATAACCTTCAAATATACAGTATTAGAATATTAATTACTAACAGTTATTATGAACGGGAAATGTATAACATAATGAACCATATCAACACCTTATTTTGCATTTGAGTTTGAAAAAAATCATACATTAGTGTGTCGTACAATAAAATGTATGATTGAATACTGACACCCAAAGGTCACTGAAAGGAAATTCACACATTTGTTTCACCAGTGAAATAGCGGGAATTTTGACTGTAAAATATGGAGTGAAAACAAAAGAAAACATTGCAAAAGAAAGTAACTAACTATGATGAAACTGACAACAAAATAATCCGACTTTAAAATCCGTGAGATACCAGAGTTTCAAGTTCTCTAACCAAGTTTTCTTTTCTAAGTAGGTAAAGTACAATAAGTTTCTTATCAGTTTCCTGTATTTGCTACAGTTCATTGTCTGAACTGTAATTGATTACGAAACACTAGTTGAAATACATTACTTCGTTTTTACAAAATGATGTAATAATGACAGTCAGTTTACTGGGAATAAAAGTGCTCTTGGACAATTTCTTTAAAACCTAGTAATATCCACCGAGTCTTGTTTAATGTCTATTGATTTAATAGTCATTCTAGTTCATTGCTTTTTCACAAAATTCTTCTCATAAAACAGATGTAAACTTATTAATCAGTAAGTTTAAGAAATTACTCACCAAAATACAGAATTCAATATTGTTTGAAAGCAACGACATTTTGGAGTGGATAGCCTTTCTTAGCTTTGGAAGTCAAAACAAAACCTGTAACAAATATTTTGCGATAGAAATCTATAGTGTCACTATACAAAACAAAAGCTCACTGGCCTTTATTTTGAGTTTTTGGAACCACTACTACTTGAGAATTGTTGTTAAGTGCTTTGCAATTTGCATGATGGAAAATAATATGGGTTTCTTTTTGAGTGGTGACAAGAGATGGAACTCAGAGCATGCTTCTCATCTAATTTGAGATTCGTCAGATTCATGCCCCTACTCTACACTGAATCATATCAATCCCACTCAAGCGCGAGCCAAGAACCTACCACTTCAGATCCAAAAGCGCTACTCACTGGGTTACTGAGCTTTGGTAGTCACTCCTTCTGCAACCGGTATGACTGGATGCGAAATCAAAGTGTGAGCTAGAAATAAAATAATTTCAGGGAGAATTTTCTCATTTGGCTATAATGTGGGTAAACATGCAAACTGTTTTCTGTCCACTAACTTTTAGTCATCCACTTTAGAACCTCTAGTTTTCTAAATGAAATTGTATGCACCTGCTAACCTACCTTTTATTTAATATATCATTTTAAAATCCAGAATTTTTTACATAAAAATTTTTAGAGTAACTGCAGATTTAGAAAAATTCCATCCATTCATTCATTCATTTTCCTCGCACTAACTAAATTTATTTTTGACCATTATACTGCCAATATATGTATATATAAACTTTAGATTTTTCACTGCCTGACAATGATTTTTCATTTCATCTAGGCACTTGAACAGGCCATCCTGCAGACTACACATTTAAATCCACACACAGCAGTTTTAACCAACACAGTGGATGTCAGTACAAACAATAATAATATAACCACAGGATAGTTAACTGGTGTTCCTTGGATTGATTTACGCGTCGTTTCAGAACATAGTCTCACTTCCATGCAACTTATCCATCAAACAACGAAAAAAGACAAACTGAATGCGTTCAGTGTCAGGATGATTTATTTATTTTTATAAGATTTTCAAAAGAATGTAATCTGTTTTCCTGCAAATGCTCTCTATGAAAATACTCACTTTAAATGCCTTAATATATTCACATATATATATATACTTTATTTTTTGCTATCATCTACAGCTGTTATGTTATGCTACATGATCAATAAATATAAATTAAAAATTATTAGCGGAAGTATTTTTTTAAAATTTCATTGAGGTTTCTTTAAACTGCCTCGATAAGCAGCTGTCCATCTTCTGTTTCCTTACAGTTTTTCACTCACCGCTTTAGCTATTACTGCTTGATGCAATAAAGCTGATTCACAATGATTTCTACTTGCTCTTACTACTTTTTTTGGCCCTCATAGTACGCTACTAAAATCTAGTTTTTTTCAGACTAATTAGGTAATCTATGAACTAATTCATGAACATTTATTTTGCACCATTCACTTTTATTTGGAGTGAAAAGAAATTTCGTAATGTTGCACATGAGTACATGTATTGGCAAGTGAGTTAATTGTGCAAACATTGTCATTTCCTCCTTTTCTTTTATCTACACAAAAACTGGCGCCTTTTTATTGGTTAACCTCCGAGTTCTGACTTCTTATTGATATGTTTCTTGTGAAAATACCTTTATTTACCTTGTATTTTCACTATCCACCCAAAACCAAATAAAATGGACGGAAATGGACCAAGAAAAACATCTATTATAAAGCCTTTCTACAAATATCTTTTAAAAACCAATATCATACTGATTATTTTCACCAAATGCAACCTTTTTCTTACCAGTACAAATTTTTCTATATTACAAAAGAAATTAACTGAGCACACTAAAGCACACTCAAGCGTAAGAATAACTTCGCTCCGTATGAATCCACCTCTCATATTCCAAATGACGTTTTGAATAAGTGAACATGTTTGTGGTACGCCTACTTTCAAGTGTACACCGTTACCATTTTTTTAAAAATTCCTCTTGATTCTTATCACCTAAATCAAACAATAACTACTTATACAACGAAAGCCAGTGGAACTTATTTTACGACTGCTTTTATCAACATTCTTGTTTTCATATTGTAGTACTGAATTTCTGAATTAGAATGAAATAGATTTGGTTTCCCCAATCTATTTCTCGCTTCTTCTATTTATCTGTTCACCTTCATTATAAAAAAATTATTTGTTTATTATATCTATTTTCAGAAAAGTTTCACAATTTTTTAACACCTAATGGCGACAATATACTTCATAGTAATAAACTGTTGGAGAGTATGTGAACAGCACTAATAATCATATGATAATGCATATCCTTTCTATGGAATTGATTTCGTTTTATAATCATGTCTTCTTCTTCCTCATTTTGACTAAAGTCCAGGAATCAATGCGGCTCATCGCATTAAACACTAAAAATGTCCACTAACTTTATATTTTTGTGAAACATTTCATACTACTTGAGAGTAATATAAATTTTAATGAAGTTTTGCAGCGGTTTACGTGAAATAGATGGGAACCTAAAAATGCAGTAGTGTATAATTTGTAAGCGTTGCTAGGAAAAGTTTGAATAAATGATAATCAAAACCAACTTCGTTTTAGTTTGTTTCTTGATGTCATAGAACATCAAAATATGTAAGAACATGTAGTGAATCGCGAAATATACCTATAAGCATCACAAAATTGTTACACGCGAAGGAATAAGGCTTGAGTTTTCTCTCCTACAATTTCTGTCCCGAAGTTCCCTGTTCTATCTATTACTGATTTTCATAACGAAGTTTTCTAAACCTACGAAGGTATGTAGCACTTGTGTCAACTTTACTAAGAAAAGACAAATTCAAAATACTAAGAGAAAAAGCTCCAATAGATTACTTACCAAAAGGGATAAATAAAAATTGTCCAACAGATAACATAATAGTATACAATGTGTCTAGTGAGCAACCTCACAAATATGATACAGAATTGGTTGAAAAAGCACTAAATTTCACGGTAAAACAAATTTCTGGACATTATTCTTCTGTAAGCTCAATATCTCACACGGTGGAAAGTTCCGCAGAATTCACTTACTATTTTTTAAAGCACGCTCGAATCATTTTAAATAAATTCATAATGATTCATTTGATTTCAGTGTCCCATCTCCTTTTGATTATCTGACACGTATTCGGCCTAGACATCCATTCACAACATTTTAATTTCCTTGAATATGGTATGCAGTTAATTATTTCTCTACAGACCTGTAATTTCCATATCACAAAAAGTTATCTACACTCACTGCTAAATGGCTCTAATAAGGTTAGCAGCTAACGATACAACTGATGTTTAACACTTAGAAACATCCATGCAACTAAATTGGAAGACGGTGAATCCTACACGTAACTAATCATAAGGTCTCAAAGTTACAAATAACGGATGGATAATTTTTCCTAGTAGGCTATTATGATTCCATGGGAGAGTCAGGCTTAAATTTACCTACATATTTTTAATTTAAAAAAGCAGTCTCAGTTTAACAGTGATTGTTTTAATATTAGCTTAGGTTATAGTAGGCTAGGATGACATAACCATTCAAACATTTTGTTGTTGATGATAATCAGCCTACTGAAAGTATGAGTCTGTTTTATTGTTAAAATCAATGTAAGATTCGTTAAGTCTTATCTCCGTTTAACAGTTAGAAATCATTGTCTATTCGATTTCAGCTCAGTTGCTGAAACGCTTTTCTCTTAATCTCGATAAGTTTTAGGGAGCTGTTCATCTTTCCTTTTATTTCCACTTTATCTCAGTTCTCAACATTAAAATCGACTGGATGTTTACAAAATAATATCCAAATACTACGAACGCCTACTTAGTTACACAACATTATGAGTTCTTGGTTCGGATTTGACTGGACATTTAAAGGAAAAGTAGCAGATCATAGTATGTGCATTAGTTTATAATAATAATAATAATGATTTGTTTTTATCTGCGAAATAATCTGCATTTGAAACTCCGATGGAGTTTGTAATGTGTGATGCATTACCGTTAGACACAGCGCGTTATTCGAGATTCGTGTTCTAAATAGTTGGATAAACAGTTTGATACGAAGATAATAAATTTAATGAACTAGTCAAATATAGATATGATGTACGCCTATGGCTTGCTGATTGTAAGTCGAATATTTAAAACCCACTTTATCCATGCTTCCATACAGTTAACTTTATTCAAATTTGATTTTATTAATTTGACACCACAGAAGCTAAATACTGAGAAATAAATAATTGTACCGTCTCATTTGCCTCCTAGTATCATGAAACCACAAATTCTTATCGACCCAAACTGGACTTACACCGTTGTAAAAAACATATTTTTCATTTCTTTCCTTAATCGGTAATCAATTTTTCCTCCTATCAGCTTGGTAAATCAAGTAAACCATCCTAACACGTTACATTTCATAAGCTTCACGACCAATAGTTGAACTTCTACCAAATCCCTATTCTTTTAACAAAAGCCTCTATGAAGTAATATGAAACGTTCATAGTTCTGATGACATAGTGTAACGTCAGAACACAAGATTGGTTGGTAACGGAATGGTTATTTGCAATTTAACATACACACGTAGGAGAAATGAAATCGTCATTTGCACAGATCTTCGGTGTTGTGCTACTTCTGCCCTTCATTTTGTGTTTTTTGTCTTCTTTTCGTGTCTCTCTTGCTTGGTCTCAATACTGGATCATTTCTTCTCTTTGTTATTAAATCTATCTTCCCGCTATTTGATATTTTTGTTCCAATGAACGTCTCTTTATCTACTACTGATATTCTTGTCAGTAGCATACACCCAGTATATCTTAGAGGTGACAGAAATACCATAATGTATACACAGATAATTTTGACTGTTGAACATCGACTTTACTATATTTGACAAAGGAAAAGTAAGCTTTATTTAAGTGGACAGGTCCGTTATTATTATTAATATTGTTATTATTGCCATTATTATAGTGATTGTTTAGTACAGAATTAGTGTAATTTATGCATACCTGTTGTCATTAGTATTTAAGTTTGAATATAACATAAGTTGGTGTGTCTTTATGAACACAGAAAATGAATTCATCTATGAAATATTGGAAGAATGTGGCGTGTACACAACATTTCATCATAATTATTATTATCACTTAGCATAATTTGCAAATTTGTTGAAAATTTTCATGTTTTGGTAATATTTTATATACTATTCATCTACCAACATCCTGAAAAACAAAACTATTTAGCATGTGATTATTTGTACTATCAATATTCACCGATAACTTCATTTTATGTAATTGTTTTACTCTATGACAGAAAGTTATTTTGTTATATATGATACCAGTGTAACTGCCATATTCAACAGTGTTATCATTTTATAAATAATCGAGGTCTGTATAACTTTGAACATAAAATGAAGAATTCTGAGTTACGTACACTGGAGGAGGTCATGTGAAGAGGAGATGAAAACGTGTGGGCAGACATGGAGCCAGGTGAAAACTCTAGCAGAGAACCAAACTCAATGGAGACGCACAGCTGAAGCCCTATGTTCCTCTAGGAATTAAAGGATACAATAATAATAATACACTGGACTATCACACATCAACGAAGAAATTCACCTCATTCATTGTTCGGCAAATTCTTACAGGATGATTTAAACTGTCAGATATTTGTCTAGAATATTAAGACTATTCGGTTTTACAAAATCAAAAATAAATTACTTGGCAG